CTACTGTAAGCGGAGGTGTAACCGAAGACCCGAATGTATCTACTCGTATTTCTAGGACTTACACCTTAAGACATAAAAAGTCCAGATCAGACAAGAACTAAAGCCTGAACAACAAACAGTGTACGTCGAGTTTTCGACCAAAATTTTCTTCAGCGATGAGGCACGTTTCTCATTCGGGGGTTAAGTAAATAAGCAAGGGGCTCCGAAAATCCTCAAATTATTGAAAAGTGAACATTATAAATATAATTGGCGCTTGATAACCGCTGAAGTGACTTACGGCCGAGCTCCTTCTCCAATTTGTGGTTTTTGCGCCTTGATGTCCTTTCCAACAATTGGAGGGAGCTACAGGTTATACTAAGCCGCCTCCGAACGGCTGATGGATTTTTTATGAGAAGCTTCGTTTCATGTCAGAAATATGCTCGGAGGGGTGGACATTCCCTGCCGAGAGGCGACAGCAGCTAGAAAAATTATTTAAATTAATTTTCTATAACTTTTGGATGTTGGTCGTACAAGAATTTGAACCAGGGTCTTCCGAATGACAGTACGCAATGCTAACCTCGAAAAGAGAGGCCATTACACCCATACAAAAATTTAGTGTCTGATGTGATCTTTCTTTCGGAGTTGTAAAGAGGAACGGGGCGGGTGTCACTGTCAATTCGGAGGGTTTTGCTCCGACTGAAAAACTATTATTGGAGATATGATATGAATAAGGTGCCACAGACCACAAAATATGAGTGAATATGACTATATTCCTATATGAATGTTCCATTTTCATCGAGATCGTGAGATTTGACACCATTGGACTTTGCTTTGTGGGGCTGCGCGAAAGAACGCATTTAAACGGATAAATCTTTAACTCTAGTGAACTCTTGAGCACTTGAAACTCAACAGATAGTCGATTACTTTGAAAGTTTTTAAACTAGCACCCGCTAATGGAAACAGAGATATAAGAAGCCATCCACTTCGTTGAAAGGGTCTAGTAGGCCGCGGTATTTCTGACTGACTCATAATTCCAAGTAAAGAAATGTTTGTGAGATTTGCTTCTATAAATCTTAAAATGGTTTTAATATCAGCGGTTTTTCTGACATTCGAGGTTGAGGGATATTCCCATTTAGAAATTTTTTTTTTAGTTTTTTCTATGTTTTGTTCCTCTGGCTGCGCAAATTGCTTACAGCGATCGCTATTACTTGTAGTTACTGACCCGCCGAAGTCTATTAGTTGCAGCCAAAATCTCAAAATCTCATTACATTGATCCGGAAGGAAGAGGAAAGGAGAGGAAAGGATCTGGATCAGTTAGTTCAGAGACTTAATATGATCTGGTTTCGAAACAACGTTGTGTAGGATATCAACGCTTTTTATGACGTTTAAGAGAGCCCAGAGGTCGGACTGTGCAATTGTCTTTTGCCTTCTGAACAGCTGCTTAATGTCTGAGAGTTCCAGATATGGCCGGATAGAAACAAAGGAAGTATTTCAAGGTCTCACTCATGCCTGCTTCCCTACACTTCCTGCATATATCATTGCTACTAATAGTCATTCGACGCACAACTATCCCTAAGTCCTTTTCAGACCGTGTATATGTTGATGTTTTCCATGTAGCTTCGTCAGTTAGCCAGCTCAGCGGGTTTTCTTACCGCAAGGACCTCCACCTGGCGAATAATGCAATAATCCGAATGTTTTAAGGGTTGCCTGAGATCTAGCTCTAGAGAATAGCTTTCCGGCGCTCACTCCTATTTCTTGGGTCGTTCGTGTAAGTCTCGCCAGAGGGCCGCATGCTCCAGCGCCACTTGGAACTTTCTATCTCAGAAGAAGAGTGGGAAGATATTGTTTTTTTTTTAATAATTTTAAAATATTTTCAGCAATACTTGATCAAGCCGTGCCGTATTTCTTTTTTGCTTTAATTAATTTTTTTAATTTAGATTTTATATGAGTTAAGAGTTGAATCTGGCAGCAAAAATCAGACCAACTAGTGAGTGTTGATCTAAGGACTTTATAGAACACGGTTGGTCTTCTTCTTTATGGTGGCTTATTGGCGAAGGAAGGAGAACACGAAGAGGAAGAGTAATTTCTGGCCGCTTTAAATACTGGAGAGCGTCCGTAAGATAAGTGAAGACTGGTAAGACAAATAACGCTCTTCGGTGGTATATTAGCTAGAATTTTCATTAATAAGTAACCGCGAGATTACTGCGAAGGTGATGCTTTCCGAATTATTATTACCAAAGAATTTTTCATTTACCACATAAAAACCTTTATAAATTTGTATGATTTGTAAGAGATTTCCGCGAAAATTTAACGGCATGCATTCAAGCTCCGTATCCATAATGCATTTCTTCATTCGCCTGTACATTGCACATCTGCTCCCTGCAGGAGGAATAGAATTCGGAAGCATATAAAGAATTTTGCAAATTTTACTAAAATCACGTACGGCCGGCGAATGAAGTCAATCAATGAATAAAATAAAAAAATGAAACCTAAAATTCTACAATAACATACATACATACTAATGTATGGGGGTGCATACGAGTATATAATATACATTTGTGGAATTTGAAAATTTCCAGGAAATTCACATATTTATGCCAAACGTTAGGAGGTTACTTGTCAATAACTCAATGGTGGTCTGATATATAAGGTATATATATGTATGCATATAAACTCATAACGCTACTTAAAACACATATGAGTCAGAGCATTGTGTATGAAATACGATACACATAGCACAAAATAGAAATCCAATACCAGAAAAGTCAATTATCTTTACCTTCAAATTATTTTTACGCCCAAAAGCATGACTGACCAAAAATAACAAATAATCTTTTATGTATGTTCGATACATATTAAATATATATATATACATAAATACATTTATACATATATATAAACATACATACATAGGCATCTCCTTACATATTGTAAACAACCTGTTGTCCACAAGCGATTTGCTTGAGGTAGAAAAATTTTTGCAGACAACAAGACGCCCACAAAAGTAGTAAAAGCCATGCAAGCGCAACTGAGACACGCGCACCTTTCACGCCATGCAAGACAAGATATCCGTATCTAATATCTTTACATAAAAAAAAAACAGCTGTATCTGTGTCTGTGTCTGTGCCTGTGTGTGTCTATGCCCATACATTTGTATGTTATTATGTGCAGAATTCATTCATAAAATTTTACGTTCGACTTGCAATTGTTGCTGCTGTGATGCCAATCAATGGCCCGGATAAGCAGGTAAGAAAGGTGAGCTGAGTGGAAACGCATACATAAATACAGCTATGTACATATATGTACGTGGATAAATACTCGTATATAAATGAGTGCATACAAATGAATTGAATTGCTTTACGATTGGACATACATATAATACTTATGCACCATTATGCTAGATTGAAGTCAATTGGCTTGACTTTGCGAACAAAATAGTGAACATACATGCAAACACACACATACATACATGTGAATTTGACCTACAAAAACAATGCAATTTGTTTGAATGTAATTTGTAAAAGTATGTATTGTGTATTTGAACCTGGTGCAATATGGCCAATGGCACTTGTTTTGGTAATTCCACTCAAAGGAGCAAGTGTCCGAGGCGACTTCATTTCACATTTGTTAGTTTAAAACAGTTACCGTATGGTTTTAAGACAGTCAAGAACGTTGCGCAGTTAAAGAGAATTTAGTTGAGAAAGAAGAAGCACGCAATTTGCACTAATTGCAACGAATAGTCATAGCGATAAGAGAACTGGTGTGTGTGTGCGTGTGTGCAAAAATGATATACCAAAGAAAGGTGTTGGCGGAGCGTAATCGATCCAGTTTATCAAGTGGGTTTTATATAAAAAAAATTCATAAAATTAATAAATATTAAATTAAATGAATTTAAAAAAGCATTTCAAATGAAACAAAATAAAAGGAAATAAAATAAAATAAAATAAAATAAAATGCAAAAATTAAATTAAAAAAAAAAAATAATATAAAATAAAAATAAAGCAAAGTAAGATAAAACTAAATACAGTAAAATAAAAGAAACATAAATTAAATTAATTAAAATAAAGTAAAATAAAAGAAAATAAATTAAATTAGTTAAAATAAAATAAAATACAATAAAATAAAATTAAATTAAATAATATAAATTTAAGTAAATTGTAGTAAAAGAATATAAAATAAACAAAAATAAACTGAAATAAAATAAACAAAATGAAATTGAATACAATAAAAATAAATAAAGCTGAAAAAATAAAACAAAAATAAAATAAAATAGAACAAAATAAAGTAAAAAAAAAAAAAGAATAAAATAAACTAAAATAAAATAGAATAGAATAAAACAAAATTAAAAAAATAAAATAAAATAAAATAAAATAAAATAAAATAAAATAAAATAAAATAAAATAAAATAAAATAGAGTGTATTAAAATTTAGAAAATTGAATTGAAATAAATTGAAACAAGTAAAAAATTTAAATTAAAATTAAATGAACTAAATAAAAAATAAACTAAAATTAGATAAACCAAAAAGATAAAATAAAATAAAAATATATGCAACTATAAAATAAAATGGTTTAAAACGATAAAAACCAATTAAATTAAAAAAAAATTAAGTAAATTGAAATGTAATAAAATAAAATACACAGAAATGAACTAAATTAAAATAACCAAAATAAACTAAAACAAAATTAACTATAATAAAATAAATTGAAATGCAATAAACAATACAAAATAATTTAAAACCAAATAAATTAAATTAAAGAAAAATAAATTGAAATAAAAAATAAATTGAATAAAATAAAATATAAATATAGAAATTAGAACAAAATAAAATAATAAATGAAACAAAATAAAAAATTAATTTTAGAACAAAATAGAAAAAAATATATGAAATAAAATAAATAAAAAAAGGTTTAAATCTTAAAAAAGAGATCAAAAATGGCATTAAATTTGGCATATATTTTTTTAATATCATAAATATCGAGGAAAATTACATATTTTGATTATTACTCCTTTGTCTTTCAGGCCTAGCTAAATCTTGTGCGATGAAGGAGAAGAGTAAAAATGCCGCTCGCACTAGACGTGAAAAGGAAAATGCGGAATTCTTCGAATTGGCCAAATTACTACCATTACCAAGTGCAATTACATCACAGTTGGACAAAGCTTCCATCATAAGATTAACAACATCTTATCTGAAAATGCGTCAAGTTTTTCCCGATGGTGAGTAGAAATGAATGGTTAAGAAACACAATCTATTCGAAGAACAGGTATACAGTGTGTAGTATATGTATACTATACAATGCTTTTATGATTAGGAAAATGCATCAATAGTCAACTCGCATATGCAATTTTTTTCTTACTCATTTCCCACACTTAAGTGAATATCAAGTTTAACTTGAATAGAGTTTTGTCTGTTCTGCTGCGTTTTTTTGTTCCGCTTTAGGCTTCTTTAATGTATGAGCATAGTCCAATTTTACCTGTTTGGACTCTATGGAACAGGTGTTTATATCAAGTTTCTGCGGTTTCTTAAGCTAACTTTTCCTACATATGAAGCTTATTTCAGCTTTTCAACTCTAAAATGCCATCGATGAGTTTTTGCGTTCATGAAATCAATACATCGACAACACCTTATCCACTGTCGCACATTCTCCGGTAAAAAACATATCAACCAAACCGAGATTTCCGCCCAATTTGTTGTGAGACTTCACTGAACTAAAAAAATTAGGCGCCCCGCTGTGATTTGCAACAATTACAAGCATATTAACTTCGAAGTACAGACACACTTTCACATGGCTTAGTGATCTCAACGTCTACCAACCACTTCCTGCTCCTTCACACTCACACCCCACGACTTTAACACTTCATTTAGCATAGCCGGCAGGAATTTCTACGCCTGTGGCGGCTCGTGACTGCACAGTGCAACAGCCATCGCCCATCACCATCACCACCACCACCTATGATCAGGACGTGTGCCGCTGTCAAACGGTCAGTTAAGGCGAGCATAAAGCGAGATGTCATTGAGCTTTGAATTTTCCTTTCCAATTGCATGTAGTCGCGCGCCAATTGTTCCAATTATAGTTTATCAAAAAACAACAACACACTCACCATTGTTGCGAGAAGCAAAACAAAATACTCATAATAATGAAAATAATAGAAGAGGTAAAACTTTCTTTGTGCAAATTTAATTGAGAACGCAAAACAAAGTATGGCAAATAAATGGGGATATAATAGAAGTTTGACATAAAAAAGTTTGCATGCAAGTTTATTTGTTTAACATAAACAAATCTTCTCATAGAGAGCATGTGCAGCCATATGTTGCATACATACATACACGCATATCATACAAATACAATTTTGGTTTTCAAAGAAATTCTAAAGTCTCGAAGTTGGGTCCAACAGAGCAACTTAAGTTTAGCTATTAACCAAAGAGCATCCGTCACTTCCTCAAATGCGTTGCAAGGCGCTTGGTGTGTCTGAGAAACGCTGCGAGACTGTTAATACTAGCTGAACTTAACTTAGCAAGGCATTTTAAATGGTATTTACCGTGGTAGTGATGTCGTGTGGTGATGGGGGCCTTTCACTGACAAAGCAAGTGTTCGAAAAACCCTCCTACTTCCCTACGACAATAATCATTACAGTAGTATTTTACCGTTACAACACCTCGAACAATGCTTTATTATTGCACCAGTAGTTTTAATGATAGATAACCGGCTAAGGAGCAACGGCCTGTCTTAGCACATGTTCTGCTGTGAAGGAAGAAATACTCATACCATGTAAAGAGTTCGTAGCTCCTCCTCTCGATAGTTTTTCAGCTCTACATGGCATATCCCAACGCTTGGGTACTAAAGGTAAAATATCACGGTCTTACTAAATTTATTCAAGGCTATGTTTATTCGTCGGTCGCGATGATCGAGTGACAAGCATTGCACGTTGCCATTCGGAAGGCCAGGGTTCGAGTCCTGTTGCGACCAACATCTAAAAGTTTTAGAAAATTAATTTAAATACATAATTAAGTTAAATTTCTTAATTGCGGTCGCCAGGCGACAGTGAATGTCAACCTCTCCGAGTGTGCAATATTTCTGACATGAAATTAAGATCCTCATAAAAAACCATCAGCCATTCGGAGACGGCTTAATATAAATTGTAAGTCCCTCCATTTATTGGAAAGACATCAAGACGGATATTACAAATTGAAGGAGGAGCTCCACCGGAGTTTGAGGCTCCAATTATATATATGTATGTTCAAAGAACTTTTGCCATTTTTGCTTGCTTGTCTGCCATAGAATAGCATATAATGCAGACATTCACCGACTTCAGAGATTACAGTAAGTCCTCATCGCTATTGAGGTACGATCATTTTATGTTCATTTAGATTAAAAGCTTCATTTAGTGGATTCCATAACTCGCTGATGGCTAAATCTCTGTGTTTTAAAGAGCGTTTAAATATTTCCGTTTTTTTGTTTCTTTTTTTTGAAGGAAAAGAGATTAATGAAACAGAAAGCAGGTTTCTTAATTTATAAAAAAAAAAATCGGTACGTGCGCGATATACTATATATACGTATACATACATTAATGTTGAAAACATATTTTTTCGTTTTTCAACTAAATCCTTTAATTTTAAATTTTTTTGCCATCAAAAAATTACATATATACCAAAAGCATTAAACATAATGTGATTTCACAGAAAAAAGACAACGGATATGCCCTCAATACTATAATAAACGCACACATAATCACACACTTAAAGAGTCACACATCTACATGTACATAGCATTTACAACAGCATTCAATGCACATTTGTTGAGTGGAGACAAAAATTTGCTGAGCCAAAATCTACGAACCAAGAAAATACAAGCATACAAACAGGCTTTCAAACATATGTATGTTAAACATTTGCAACACTTTTATCCAGCAGACATACTTACCCACACACACACACACACAACACAGGGCGGAAGCTTTAGTCAAACAGGGTTGCAACTTCAAGATATTCTTCTTCTTCTTTCAAGGATTTTTTTTCCTTCTCGTTGTCGTCCTTTGTACCTTTTTATTGCAATAATTATTTCAATAAAGCTTGAAGAAAAAAAGTGAAATAAAAGAAACAATACAATAACAACAACAGCAGCATGAAAAATAACAAAGCAGAAAAATGACTCAAATCAAGCGAAACAAGCAAAAAACAAAGTACTCACCAGAAAGAGCTACTAAGACAACAAAAAGAAATCACTTTAAGACAACAACAAAAGAAAAAAGGGGAAAAAAATCACAACCAGATATAACAACCATTGAGGGCAACACCAACAACAACAACAACAATGTCATCCATAAAAAAGCGGAACATAACACTTTTGTTGTTTTTATTTTCAACTTCTTGTGTTTATTTTGCGCCATCCGTAACTTACCATCATATTCTCACCGAGCAACTGCTACTGCTGCTGGTGCTGCTGCTGCTGTTTCAGTTACTCCTTTACCCGCCCCCTGTCCTTCACAATAAGGCATTATTTTTCCTGTGAGAACCCGTTCTGCCGCTTATAGGCTCAAAATGCATACAAACTTCCTTCCCACAACACTGCCGCCGGGTGAGTGGGTGGGTGGTTGGTTGGTTGGTCGGTTGGCTGGCTGGAAAGCAGTGCTGTCGGTAGCTGTCACCGCAATGTCGTGTGCTCGCCACCAGAACACCCGCCGTTGAATGGCGGCACAAAAGGCCTTTAGTGAGTACTCCGTTGTATCCCACTGTGCTGATGACTTTAATTGGGAATAATATTTATATGTCAGCATGGGTTGTTTAGTTGTGAGAGCTGTGAGCTTTCATGGTCTATACGCACGTACATACATACATATGTACATACATGTGTTTCGTATGTAGGCATGTACTCGTATGAGAGTGAGTTTCATAGGGCGTTTGCTGGCGCATATGAGTATCGCGCTGCTTCGGAGCATACGTTTTGCGTCGCACCTTTTTGTGCTCATTAAAAGTGACTTTTTCCCACTTTGTTGTTACTGTTGTATTGTACCTTAATTTGCAGTTTACTTTTATTATTATTTCTTTCTTGTTATCATCAACATTTTTTACCATTTTCATTTCCACGTTTTTTTTCTACTTTTTCTTCTATTTCTTTTTTTTCGTTTAGGACTGGGCGAGGCGTGGGGCACTTCACCGGCAATGCAACGCGGCGCTATCAAAGAGCTTGGCTCACATTTGTTACAAACATTGGATGGTTTCATATTTGTTGTGGCACCGGATGGCAAAATTATGTACATCTCGGAGACGGCATCCGTACAGTTGGGTCTAAGTCAGGTGAGTAAATTTTAATATACAATTTTGAGACGAGGAAAAGTAGTCACATTAAATTAAAAAAATATTTATACGCTTCTTACGAGAAAATTCAATCTCAAACTGGGTTGTGAAATTGCGAATACGTCTCTGCAAAATGATTATTGTGAATGAATGTGTGAAAAAAAGAAGAAATAAAATATTTTTTATAAGAAAGGAAGTGACTTGGCAATTTTTTAAAGGAAATCAAATCTGAAAATTTAAGTGAAACGATAATAGCGGGCACAAGGTAGCAATAGAATAGAAGGAACAGGCAATAATAGACATATGCTCATGCGGAATAGTAAACTCCTTGGTATATAATCAAATCTGAAAATTTAAGTGAAACGATAATAGCGGGCACAAGGTAGCAATAGAATAGAAGGAACAGGCAATAATAGAAATATGCTCATACGGAATAGTAAACTCCTTGGTATATAATTTTTGTATCCGCAATTTCATATTCAAATCGAGGGTTGAAACTCAGCATTTCAAGCGTGGAGAAAAATCATGTTTGCTAATAAAATATTGAATAGAATATTTTTTCAAGTTTAAGATTAGTTTTTTTCTTATATTTTTTAAATATGAAACTTTTTAAGAACTGGCTATGAAACACCACATATGTATGTAATTTTTGCATTTCAAAATATTTCAAAAAATGAAAATAAATAAATAAATAAAATTTTTAAAAATAATATTCCAAAAAATTGCCTCGTTTGCACACAGTGCATTATTGACAGGAAACAAAAATATTGCAAGACTTTATTTATGCGCATAATTTTCTTGTATGCATGTAGTACCTCTTGTATACGCGTAGTATGCAAATTTTGATTTTCAAGTTGCTCCTTTGCAGCTTTTCTAAATTTGCACATTTGAGTAGCGCGGAAGTACGCAAAAATTACAAATATTTTCATTTAAATTTTCAAAGTAAAGTGTTAATTATTTTTTTATTTTTTTATATTTAATAAAGATTTTTTAAATTAGCAGTGTGAAGTTTTTCTTAGCGACTTATCACTTTTTTTTTACTTTTAACTTTGTTAATAAATTTATAATTTTTTACAGGTCGAGTTAACGGGCAATTCGATATTTGAATATATACACACACACGATCAGGAGGAAATGAACTCCATACTCTCACTTCATCCTTATGTGTATCAAAATCCTGTAAGTTTTCGTTTTTCCCTTTAGCCGCCATTACGCAATGAACACATGTATACGTTTCGTGTACTGATTCTCGGCTTACTTTCTTTAGGATGCATTTATTAATTCATTACATCTAACACAGAGCGGCAATCCACCCACCGGCAATGCGAATGTGATTGGTAGTCCGAACGGCGGCAGTTATGGCAGTGATCGTGGTTCGCATACGATCGAAATACAAAAATCCTTCTTCCTGCGCATGAAGTGTGTGTTGGCGAAACGTAATGCGGGACTGACTACATCTGGTTATAAGGTAATTAGTAACTTAGGCAGATTCAAAGTTTTCTCTTTGTGCTCATTTCATATTTCACCCTTTCGTCGTAGGTCATACATTGTTCCGGCTATTTGAAAGCGCGTATATTTCCCGATTATGGCGACGGTCATGGCGGTTGCATACAAAATCTGGGACTTGTAGCTGTTGGTCATTCTTTGCCTTCGTCTGCGATAACGGAAATTAAATTGCATACAAATATGTTTATGTTTCGTGCGTGTATGGATTTGAAGCTGATATTTTTAGATGCGAGGTGGGTGTGATATTTTGAAAGCAACGTTTTTTTTTAGTAGGAAAAATTAATGAAAATTTTTAAATTTGGTCAAAATTAATTTATTTCAGAAACAGCATTTTTGATAATTAATAAGAAAATATTAAAATTTAGCTTGTACTTTTCTTAGAAAAAGAACTCATATGCAAAGATTGTTTTTTGCCTAAAAAAAATTTGTTAGCATTTTGAGTTATATACATATATAAAAAATTTAAATTTTTTCGGAGAGATAATTCGAGATAATACTTTATCAATTTAAAGCGTGTAAAAATTAATAAATTAATGGTTGTTTCGGAGCATTCTCAACAGTTTTCACTGAAAACCACTTGGTTTACTAAATATTTTTACTCAAAATTTTTGTCAGAGTTGAAGACACATTTTGTCGCTCCAAATTATTTTTTAACATGTCAGTAAACAATTTTTTTGCATGAATTATAGTCAAGTAATTTTTTATCCAGCAGAAAATTTTAATTATTTAAAAAAAAAGAAGAAATAAAGTCTTCTATATTTTACTAACGATATATGTATTTACATTCCATTTTATTTTTAAAAACACTTACCATTAAATAAATACTCTTTCAATAAAATATTAAATTGCAATACAAAATTAATTGACAATTAAACCATTTTTTATTAGCCTTTTCAAAATGAAACACAATAGAAATTAAACAAAACATACTCAAACAAGACGAGAAATATAATACGCAGTAAATATTTAAAAGCGATGCTTTCCATTGTCAAAATGACAATAGACAAAAAAAAAACGACGAGTAGAATGTAAGCAGAGATAAAATATGAATATATTTAACACTTGTATGTATCATAATAAACAAAAAAATAACCACTGCCTTCCAATCTTAACCACTTGGCACACAATCAACCACCCACTTTGGCTGAGCAAACAAACCATTTCCCTCTTAACTAAGCGCAGCAACATTGTTGGAATGAATTTGATTTTGCTTTTCATATAATGAAACTCTCTTTCGTTTCCATTGTACACCATGCTGTAACTAAATGATAACAACATAGACAATTTCAGTAGAATGAGCTTGAAGTGGGGAGGCTGCTACCTACCAGCCAGTCACTTGCTGTCTGCTTATTATCGACACTCAATTACCCTCATGATGATGTGTTACGTTTATTGTCTGTCAAATAAAAGGGACAATGGAAACTCTGTCCGTTCCAAAATAATTTAGGCGTGTAGGAACATTTTACTATGTGTATAGATTCTTAAAAGTTCCATCTACATAAATGTTACATGAAATTTAAAAATTATGTAATTAAATCTTATATTAAATAATTCGTTCATAAATCATTGTAAAATTGAATATTTTTTTCTTACAATCAAACTGTCTTACACACTTTAAACTTAAACTTTAATTAAATTTCAATTCAGAAGATTAAAAAGTCGTTTATTTATTTTGAGTAAACTTCTTTCATTATGTACTATTCACAATGATAACCAAGCACTTAAACTGCTTATTAAGTTTAGGAACAATGTGAAATTAATGTTGCTTCTCATTACCTATTATTTATAACAATTAAATATTTTTTTTTTCAATTTTATAGAGTCTCCCAACTCACCGGTTATGAACCTCAAGACCTCATAGAAAAAACTCTTTATCAATATATACATGTTGCGGACATTATACCAATGAGCTGTGCCCACAATATACGTAAGTAAATATACATACATACATATGTCTTAAGTAAATAAATATACGCATTCATATATGTACGAATATGTAAATAAAGTACGTGCACGCGTAAACCGTTAGTGCAATATTTTTATTTAAAATATAAAACAAGCGAATCAGACTTTTATGATGAACAAGCGCTTAATTCTCAGCAAATTATATTAAAATCCTTTCAATGCATTTACAATATTTATTTATTTATTTTTCAACAATACGCTTTTGTTTTTCCAACTAATTTGAAATGTATTTCATATATGTATGTACGAGTATATATTTTTCGCTATTCTCTCTCTTTACAATTCTCGCCACCAGTGATATATAAAGGACAAGTCACCACCAAATATTATCGTTTCCTGACGAAGGGCGGCGGCTGGGTTTGGGTGCAATCGTATGCGACGGTAGTGCACAATACACGTTCATCGCGTACTCATTGTATTGTCAGTGTAAATTATGTCCTTAGGTAAGTTGTATAGGGCGAAAACTACCTACATAAGTATACAATAGACTTTATATACGTTGAATAAACACTGGAGTAGTGACAAATAATGTGCCATAAGAATAACCAATAACCGGTGGATTATGTAACGTTGGTGTTAAAATAATATTGGTCATACTGAAGTGTTTTAATAGGATTGTTTTGTTTTGCAAAGATTTAGCGTCTGATTTGAGTAAGATTTTTGTATTCGTATATTTTTAAGAGAGGGGTCGAAGAATCCAATGAACTCCACTTATACTTACATATATGTATCTATTAACGATTTCAAATGAGTTTAATTTAATTTTTTTATTTTAGATTCAAATACATACATTTTACGCAAGACTTTGTTCTATCCTTTCAAAAAAAAAAAAATGTTTGTCCTGAAAAATACACTTTCAAGAATGCCATACCAATTTTTATTTAAGATCTTGTGTTTAATATATTTTTATCATTTTACAAATTTCTTAAAGAGTTCCAATAAATCTGCTTGAAAGTTCTATGACGCTTGTATGCGGGACAAAATATGTTTCATCATATTTCATATATTTATAACTTACAATTTATTCCTGTGCGTTATTTAAATCAAATTTCCGGCCATTTTGATTTTCATCTTTCCATTTTAGTAATTTCCGGTGTAGTGTTCACAATAGTATCACTTCTTATTAAGCAAACCCTTCTGTCAAAGTGAAGCAATATTATAAATGTAATTGACCTACAGTTTATACTAAGCCGCCTCCAAACGGCTGACGGTTTTTTTATGAGCAGTTTTTATTTCAAGTCTAAAGTACACTCGGAGAAGTTGACATTCCCTGGCGAGGAGCGACCGCAGTTAGAAAATTAGCCAATTATATACTATATTTCTATACTACGCTCGATTTCAACTAAAATTTCGATAGTATTCTTAATTTGGTTATACAAGAAATGATCATGTTGGAGGGAGTACAAAAAGAGTACTTTTAAAATGGCTTATTGTGAATGAATTATGAATTAAAAGAAGCACAAATAAGCGTCAATTAAAATATGTTTAGAAGAAAAGAAGTGGCATAGGCGGTTTTAGAACAAAATCAAAATTCAATAAAAGCGATATTACAAAGGCCTTGTGGGCTCAATGAAACGCCCCTCCAACAAGCTCTGACCGAAATCTGATGGAAAAGGTAGTGGAACTTTATGGATTAAGAAAAACTAGCCATGCACCGGATGTGTGACGAGGAAACACACGGAAATTTATGGTTGAGTTAAAAAAATACACTTTATAACAATTTAAGGTTACTTGAGTCGATTTTACGGATTTTTGAACAATTCGCACAGTCAAAACCATGATTCAATAATTAATTAAAAATTAATCACAATTATTCATGGTCAAAACATTTTGAAATGCTCGTAGCATTCCATATAGGGAGAGAAAATGCTTGAAAACATAATTAAAAATTGTATTTAAACTTAACTCGTAGTATATAAATTTTTTAACTTAACAAAAATAACATTTTGTACCTAGATTATTGTATACATACATACATCATTTAAAATATCCACCAACACTATCTTAATGGCATATTGTTCTTTCTTACAACCACCGTTTTACAGTGAGCAAGAGGCCAAAGACTTGATTCTGAACGAAATTCAAACGGGTGTGGTTAAGAGCGAGCCAATCACCGCGTCAGCTGTGTTGACGCCATCTTTGCATGCGGCGCACGCAGCTGCCACTGTTATACATTCGGCGCTAAGCAGCAACGGCATTGTAGCGGGCAATTCACCGAGTTGCGCAGCACTGAGCAGTGTGAGTCCCAAACTGGATCCGTGTTTTGAAAGTGCTGGCGTTTTACCACCAAATGTGCTTACGCCGGTACTAACTGGCGGCAGTAGCAGCAGTGGCGGCGGTGGCGGTGGCGGTGGTGGTAGCGGTGTACCACTTAACAATAACAATAACAACAATAATGCTTATATGTCGGGACATTTAATGCACACACAACTACCGCATCATCATCATCAGCATACGCAACTGCATGTACATCCGCACGCTAACGCACACTCACACACACATGTGCATCCACAGCACACGCACACGCATCAAATGCATCACGTGCATGCGCACGCTCACGAAGTGCCGCCGTCAACGCAACACGATAACCTCAGCTATACATCGCTTTTCCCGCCGATCAACGATCTCGTTGTATCCTCGTCGACGATCAGTGCGCTTGGTCATGAAATACAATATCCGGATACAACCACCGGGGTTGGGGGCGGCGCCTATTATGGTAGTAGCATTGGTACTGCCAACAGCAATAACAATTCTGGTAGTGAGCATTACTACTATGATGCCGCAGTGTCGGCGACGACGTTGAATCGACCGTACTCAGCAAATTCCAATAGTTGTTCCAGCAGCGCGGAGAGTGATAGGCAAATGTCAACCGGTAATGCATCCATAGTTACCGGCACCTCACCGCAGACGACGTACAGTGAACTAAGCCATAATTTTGAATTGCACTATCTATCGGATAGCAGTTCACACCAACAGGCTGTTATGGTAGGTCCAACGCCAACACAGCAACAACAGCACCACCTTCCAAGCATGGAACACCATCAGCATACGCATCATCATCAACAACAGCAACAACAACATCTACATCAGTTGCAACAACAAACCTTGGCGCCCAGTCATGTTGCAGCGTTGCAACAGCCACCGCCGTCACAGACTCAGCCACAGCAACAAAATCAAATGGATCATCAACAAATGCAAACGCACCACCAGCAATTGCAAACACAGGCACAGCAACAACATGCACTGGTTGCTCATCAACTGCAACAACACGATCAGGAGCAGTTACAACATCAACAACAGCAGCAGCAGGAACACATCTCACGCACATTCGCTGTCACCGTGGAGAAGGGTATAAATGTGCCACCGCAATATACCAGCGTTATAGTGGAGCCGCATCATCAGTATGATTTTGTGCATTAGCATTTGCTGGCTTTTACGATCCGCAGGATCGGTAGTGGTAAAACGAAAGTTGCACTTTTGTTGTGGATGCCTTTGGTATCGTCATTTTGCTGTAACCGTTGGTCGGGTCGCAGCACTTTGTTGTTGTTTATTGTAATAGTGCTAAGTAATAATTATTAATTAAATCGGACTGAGTCAGAAAGAAGTAATAACCAAATATATAATTTTTTTTGTTATAATACAACCCTGTTTCCTATTTTATGGCGGTCAACATGACTGACAAATAACCGTAATTATACCATTAATGAGGCAACCGCACTTTTCAAATCAAATCATAATGTTTATAATCATTTCTTTATCTGTTCTTAAATTTTGCCGTCTGGCAATACTAACGTAAATGTCATCAAGATTTATTCTCAAAAAAAGGAAGGTAGTTTCACTCAATATAAAATTAACAGAAGAAGGCTTTTTGACATCATATCTTATTTTCATTTTAACTTCAATACATTCAATACATACATATTTTCATAAAAAAAATTAAGTCGCCTGAAATTCTTTTTTTTCACTAGATTTTAGAAAAAAAAATTCAAAGAATTTACATTTTTTGTCAGTACATTTTTTTTTCTCTATTTTTTGCTCATTATGAGATGTTTAAATTTTTTTGTAACATAATTTTTTTAAAATTTTGAAAATTTATTTTCTTAAATAAATAAAATAAAATTGGTAGCAAAAGTCGAAAAAACTTTTTATCTATCTGACATAATGTTTTTTTTTTTAATTTGAGTGAAACTACCTTATTTTTTGTATAATGGATACGATTAAGTGTGTCGTCTGCTTATGCTATTATTTTATAATTTAATTTTCATTACAAAATCGTATATTGACATGCAAAGCGGATTTGAAAAAGGTGAAGTTGTCACATCATATGTTTGCTTGTTATTCCTTTCATTTTTACAAATTACCCAAGCAATATACACAGCGACCCAGGCGGACTCGCCATGCAGCAACATTGAGCGAACTCAGATTTTGACATTTCGAACGCACAGTTACCCAAACAAAATATTGTATGTCAAGCAAAACACCCGAGGGTTTTGTTTTTGTATTATCTTGTGCGAATTTGCCTTTGCTGCCAGGCAAAACAATTGAAAATTAACTGAAAATTGAAGGAAAATTCGTTTATTTATTTTGATTGCTGCTTAGTTGTTCTGTTGAGTACTATTCACAATGGTTATCCATATGAAATATTTGTTTAATTTATTTCATTTTTTGCATTAATAATTTTCAATATTTTATTGTCGCACAATTTTAAAGGTTTCCACACCGATTTTCTTGAGAGCTAGATACTATTATATGAATTAACTTAACAATTAAATCTTAATTGATCTCTCCGCTGCAGTACATATTCATTTGGGATTGTGTTTCGAATAAAATATATTTTAACTTCCTTCCCACAAAAGTTTTTGCAATATTTTCGAACACTTTTCAGCCTTTATGTTTTCAAATATATACATATGTACATATATTTTTTCTACTCATGGTCATGCCAAATTTTTTGGGTACGTCTTTTTAATATTAATTGATATAAATGTGTAAATAAATTTTTTGCTAAAATAGTAAGTAATAAATAAAATTATAGTTTAGTTTAAGCTGAAGTAAAAAAGTCCTGTTAAATGAAATAGGGTTTCGATAAATATTGCATTGATAGCTTATCGATAACGATTATATGTAAAAAATATGCATTGAGATGCCCTTAAGTATAAGAAATTATTTCAAGTTGTGTACATTAAATCAAAATTATATATAAAGCTAAGTAACACTGAGCATTAATGATCTTTGTAAACTGTATTTATGTATGTATGTAAAATAAACTTTTATTTTTTTTAAGCATTTCCATTAATGCTGATTGAAAGATTAATATATTATATTATAGACAAGCAAAAGAATTATATGAATAAAGTGATAATTATTTATAAATAAATTCTTTGTTATTTAAAAAAAATCATGAATCAAAAAAGGAATATACCACCTATTTTGATAATGATGTGGTAGTAAATAAACTGTTTATGAGATACTCGATAACTAAATGAAGCACATTCTAGAGCGTGGGTATCAAGGCGGTGTAGTATGCCAGAAAGCTCTGGAACTAAGTAAGATTAAGTGATGAGGTATATACAGGAGCGGCAAACACAGCGGGGAGACAATTACAAGCTCGTTGGCAACAACATCGGTATAGAGTACAGCGGAGTAAACTGTGCGTTAATAGATAGTTCCTTAGTTAGTAAAATCTGAGAATATAGTAGAATGTTAGTAAAAAAATAAAGTAGTAATTTCGTCGTGAATGGCAAATTAAGGTTGGATAAGTTCCCCACAAATAAGAATTTGTAAATGAATGTATTTATTTAACAAACCAGTAATCGAACTCGAAGGACTCGGGGAAATCATGGAGACCTATATAGCAAATTCGTTACCACACATATTCATCAAAACTCCTGGAATACGGAATTTTGTATTCATAATTAATTTTATTACTCTTAATATAGTAACAATTATTATTGATTATTGCTTATTATTTTAAAATAGGGAAATACTCGTATTGTTTCCAATGTTCGAAATTTAGCGGAAGCCCCTCGCATTGAACACACCCAGTTGCTACGTTCAGGGTTGCATTCGATTTATTGGAGAACAGCTGAAACGGAACAAACGTGAGATTTTGTGCTGTGTTGTGTTCACTAAAAGTGATGCCACATATGTAAAACAAAAAAATTGTAAATTAATATTTGCTGAAGAATTATTTCTGCAAAACGTATGTAAATATTTCTTTTTGTTAATAACTTTCTTATTTATTAAGGAAAGGGCTGAGGTTTTGAATATTCGCAACAATATCATTTCGTTTCGCTAAAAAGAAAAAGTAACTCAAGGTTATAAAATGGCTGCCTTTTGTGATCTAACTGCACACTTCAATTTCGTTTCGGCTTAGAGAGAAAGAAACTGCCTTAAAGTTAATATTTCCAAAAGTTTTAACCGAAACGAAATAAATTTTTCCATTAACGCGAAATTTATCGATACGATGAACCCTTGGACCAAGGGAAAACCAAGAATGGAACAATCTTCGAAACAACAAAAATTTAACGATTTTGAAATATAATTTTATAATTTATACACACCAGAAACGAAGGAGTTTAGGAGCCAAGAAAAATGTTCAGAAATTTCCATAATTCCTACATTTATTTATAATTTCTGTAAAAACTAGAAAATTGCAAAAAAAAAAACTTTAACAGCAGAAGGGCAGTTATAGAAAGGAAATTTTTTCTCCTTCTATTTAAAGAAGCGAAATAATTTAAAAGGTTCACAGTAAACGGCACCTAAAAAGAAAAGAAAACAAAATATGAAATTTAGCAATGTAAACCTAGAGGAAAGGCGAGATTTTGGGATCATTACTTCAAGGTCACGAGTCATACCTTCAGGTATATATAGGGTTCGACAGAGGAGTGTTGGGTTCAGTTATTTAAAGTACCTCGTAGGAAGAAGACTGTGTAGCGGAAAGTTTTGTTTTTTTTTAATTACGCAGTTTTATTAAGAAGCTAGCGAAGAGCGAATATTTAATTCGGAAATATTTCGAAAATTTCAGTTACTTACCAAATACAACTCAAGGTCGTGAGCACACCCTCGAGTAAAATTTGTGTTTTGCTCAGTTAAGTTGTTAAGTTAAGAGGAGCGACTGTTTTATTCCTATATATTGTACCATTAATTTACCTTGGAAATTTAAAAAAAATATTTATTTCAACGATCACATATTTGCTAACTATGTACTGGTAAAATTTTTTTGGTAACTGTGTGCTGTTTAAAATTGTTGTGAAAAATTTCTGATGCTTGCTATATACAACGCTGCAGATTTAACTTCATTTGACGTTTCATCTTCGAAATTGATTTGACAACTTCGAAACGTAGCCATCTTTCTTTTTTCGCGAATTCCTCGCTAGTGTGAAGGTGAGAATTTTGTTTTATAAAAATTTAATGATTATTTATAACAAATAACCAATATTATATTGTGAAAGTAGTAAACAAGTGCATTGTTTTATTATTAGTACAATTTTTAATGAAAGTAGTGCTCTGAATATGATTTAAATTGCTATAACTGCCCGCACACGTGTTCTTAGTGTGTGCCGTAAATATATTTAGTGTGAAATTGTGAAATCTAATATCGTTCATTTATTCTATTTGTAGATAAAAACACAAGATGCAATTGTTCGTGCGTGGTTTTAATACAGTTGAACCTTTCGAGGTGTTGCCTACTGCCACCATTGGTGAAGTTAAGGTGAGTTAAATTCATAATATGGAAATGATGACAGGTCAACAATGTCAAATGCAACTATTTCTAACCTCACATTTTGTGAATTTTACATGTACACTAATTTGTAATTTTATCTATTCCAGGCCCAAATCGCTCAAGCCCATGGCTTGAACACTGAAGAAATCACATTGAATTGTGAAGGCAATGCCCTATGCAATGATGCCGCTGTGACTTCACTCGCATCTTTCGAGCTTGATATCACTGTACCAATGTTGGGTGGTAAAGTGCACGGTTCTTTGGCGCGTGCCGGTAAAGTCAAGGGTCAGACTCCCAAGGTAGAGAAACAAGAAAAGAAGAAGAAGAAGACTGGCCGTGCCAAGAGGAGAATCCAGTACAACCGTCGTTTCGTTAACATTGTACAAGGATTCGGCCGTCGCCGTGGCCCCAACGCTAACTCGAACTAGATGCTTGTCAATAGCTGATAGATTCTTGTGGGTTATTGCTTTTTTACGTGTAAAATGAAATTGATTTTCACAAACAAAGTTATATTAAAATAATATATACATACAAATAAGAATGTAAATGATATTGTTTGTTCGTTATTAAGAAGAAAATCAAGGGATGTGATTTGTGTGGGATGAAACTCCAGTGTTTTTAAAACCATTTATTTAAAACATTTATGTAGTGTGGTGCGAACTTTTTCACAAAGCAATACAATTAACATTTTATGATGTAAATGTGGCTTTCTTTTTCTCGACGAAATACCATCTGTACCAATATTCAACGAACAACACAAACAGGGCTATCATGAAACCTACAAGGAATAGATCAGCATTTAGAGTAAATACAGAAAGTAGATGTACATAACTTACCAAATAAAAGCACCATAAAGCAGCCTTGCATATCATCCAAGTTCACTTTATGATTCATTATTTGGCGCATACCGCCATGACCATTACATTTATCCATAGAAGGTAGATTTATCTGGTGCCAACGTTCTATGAAGCCCATTCGAAACATGTGCATTATTTGGTCGTTAATTAATTGCAAGTAAGGACTTTTTTTAGGAACCATCAAACCAATCTGCTCATCTACAAAGCTATCACGACCCAAAGCGAACTTGCACTCCTTATTCTTCTCAAACTGTCTTTGTACAATCAATTGCAGGTTGACGCGCCAGTCAACGTTAACGCGTTTTCCATCTTGTACAGCACCAATATCTTCGCCTTGAACATTGTTGTAAATAATAGCACGCTGCACAAAATCACGAAAGTCGTCGCGGGTTGTTATCTGCTTTATTTTCATAGTGATCGATTTGTTTATGAATTAACACGGTGTTTAGGAATGGAGTTGATCTTAATACTTACTGTGGAATATTTCTCGAAGTAGGAACCATTTCGCAAACCAAACTGGCGCACATCATTGGATGAAAATATTTGAAAAAAGTAATCAATACCTGGTTGGAATTGTGGAAAGGTAAGGAAGGCGACTAGATTGCCGCTATAAGTTGTCACTAGCACAATAACAACAATCCACCAGACACCGATGACAAGTCGACCACTATCCGCTTTAGGCAAATACATGCCGCCTTACAAAATGTATATAAAAGTTTAAAATTTTAAAATTTTTTAAAAAATATGTTATTACCTTGTTGCAACAGCGCGCCATAAATATACCAGAAACAACTGTTAAGCGTGCTGAGGCCGGTAATGCGCAGGTGCTCCATGGGCACCAAGCGATTAATGAAGTACAAGACAGGCGCAGTGATTATAATGATAGCAACCAGACAACCCCATATCTAAAGAGAAAATAATTTTATATTTTTTATATAAAAATGCCGTTATTTTCCTTACCTCGGTCGTAAAGGGCGCAGTGAATAGATAAATGCGACTCACTTCGTCTGGCTGTCGAGCAATGAATGTATATGTTTGGACGCTTATTGGCACTGTGTAGTTGAAAGATTTCTTATCTGGTTCATCAATAGTTGCAGCTAAAGCGGCCATGAAATACTGTAGGGAAAAAAAGGTTATTTTTTATTTCTAAGCTTTGCCTCCCTTTACATCACTTACACGACTCGACTGCATTGTTTCTATAACTTGATAGGGTATATTGAATGTGAGTGAGCCCAAAAGGTCATCCTAAAATTATGAATTTTTTGTAAATTTATTTTATATTATAATTGGGCTTTTGATTTCCCTTACTGTTAAATTGCTGGTTTGTTGCATTTCCTCGGCAGCCAACTCAGCTGGGTTCGTTTTGACTTCATGCAGTATGTAGGAAAAATTTAACATCCGACTCATTTCTTTCAAGATTTCCATGGTAATACCGCTATGACGCACAATATCCCCACGACTGTCGCGTTCCAAAATTTGCCATGGTGGGCTCTTTGAATAATTTTTGAAAATAAAAAGTTTGAGGTAAATGAGAAAATCAAATAGAAGATTCATATCTTCAACCTACATGCACAGTCAGGATATCCATGGTGATATTCCGAAAAGAGTGCACAATATGTGGAAACATTACTTCGTGTGTTATGAAGCCCAACGTTGGTGTCCAGTAACCCACATCAATGAATTCGAAATTTCTATTGCGCGTATCACGAAGCTCTGTGGATAGAAATTTTGAAAGTGCGGAATCTATGTTAATATGTATGTGAGACAACCTAAAAACTTAGATCAAAAAAAGGGAGACTCGCATTTACATCACACAGTTTGATGGCAAAAAACTAATTTCCTTTCCTGCTATCGTAAGCTAATTAAAGGTTTTTACCGAGTTCAGCTTACAGTAGATCTAGGAAAGGAATTAGGTTTACTGTCTGCAGGAAATTTAATCTTCTTCCATCTTCGTAGTAAGAAAATTTAAGAGCGAATATCGTCCAGACGTGGCTAGACAGCTATTATCATTTCGGACCGGTTCGCTGTTAGCGTAGCGAGGGGTATAACAACTGGGCACTGTTTAAAGGGGCTTCACGGGATTAGGATGGGTTTTTACTCTAACGATTTCTGCGCGGTTATAGGGACGAATAAGAGGAGGAAACCATCGAGCACTACCTCTGCCACTGTCCAGCCTTGACATCCGCGCGACACAAGTTTCTTGGGAATTACCTCTTCGACTTTCTCGCTGAGTTGGCCTCATTGAGCATTGGAAATCTCGCACACGAAATGGTTCGATCATTTGAGAAGGTGAAGGCAGGAGTCTCAGCGGTATCATAATGGGCCTAATGGCCTAAGTGTGCTGGGGTTTTGACCAGCAGCCGCATCAACTCAACTCAACTCATCGTCCAATTCCAAACTGTTTATGGTCGGTATAGCGGGTTTGCCCAAAGCTCACTGTAGAATACTTAGGGAAAGCATGTCCTCGAACACTCGTCTGAGCAATCCCGAACAATAGCTTATTCCATCTCACCCTTTATTATAGTATTAAAGCTAGGAGTCTGAGTAGGAGTACACTACCTTGAGCTAAGATACAAAATTCCACTTTGAGGACCATAGCGGGGGACCTACGGACGTATTTGATTACGCGTACTCTTTACAGCGGGTGTATACAATACCATCTACAACAAGTGCACGGCTTACCGACAGGCATCAAACGCTCACCACTCACCGAGAGTCCGTCAACACCTTTCTGAACTCTCTTTAAGAGAATGGCGTTCTCTGAGTCAAACCACCACCAATTGCAAACGAAGAGCTCGAGCTACCTCGAGAGTTTGGTGTAATACTGGTACAACTTAGATGTGGATATTGTAGTATATTAAACTCCTACCTATCTAGAATTCACCCGACATATCTAATATATACTCATTATGTAATAAGCCTCTTTGCATGTTCCCTAAAGCAAACTCTTTCCCTCTGATACGAGCCCGTCCAAATAAGTCGTTTCATGGACGTCTCGTTAGATGACCTCGATGACTTAGACAAATTCTTCTATCCAGACTCGACTCTTATATACAACGTGTACCCATATCTGCTTCGAAGGTTCAAGAATTTACCCGCGGTAAGGCATGCCTATCGTAAGAGGCGACTAAAATCCAATACTCGCGACAGTCGGGTCTTTATACCGGAACGGCCTGGATTTTATCCGAACAAGGACTGTCACTCCCGCAACATTCTCCAAAAAGTACTTTGGGAAATATTTTGCTGTTACAATAACAACAACATCACCCCGACATGCTTCCTTCTGCTGGATGATCTTTACTTTCACCCAAAACCATTACAAACATCCAAGAAGTAAACTTACCGAGATTCGTTTGGTATCTACGATGCTCTTCGCTTTTACCCCAGGTCAAGGCCGTTTCAATTTTCCAATGCGAACAACTGGCACATTTACTGTTCATTCTGATATAGTCCTGTAGGAGAAACTCTCTCATTAGCTTCACTTTCAGCCTTAGATCTCTTCACTACACACCTTCATGTAACCCAGTATCTCATCCTGCTTCTCTTGCTTCGTGTATCTTATCGCTTCCCATTCTTCGTCGGAAATCTCCCCGTAGATAGATTGTTCCTCAACAATCATTCGTGAAATGGACGTTACAAAAGCCATTGACAATTCGGCAATTGTACAGTTAATCGAACTAGTCCCCGTTGGCTCTGTTGCATTTAAAATGAACGCAATATTTGCGCCCTCCTCCAAGTTCTGCGTGACGGACACAGCATCATAATTCCGCAGCTCTTCATTGAGTACGAAGAACAACCATTGATTGTAGACATGAAATAGTTTCAAGCTTGCGGCAATCTCGACGATATCTTCATAGAATTTCGAGAGTACAATAAATTGTCGTGGCGTCTGTACGTTATCCTGGAAATTCATTAACATTTGGCGTATAACGGTACGCTTCTTTTGGCTACGTAACGAATCGTCGATGCGGTAGAGGAGCAGAGAAAAGGGTGTGATGTGATTTTTCACGCTTTCATGCACAACAGATTCGACCAAAGTGGGATTGTCGCTCACTTGGCAGAGGATAAGAGTTGAGAAATTGAAATTTAATTGAAATGCACAAATTTATTTTTATTTGACTTACATATCGTCTGATCGAGCAACACTGCCGCCGTTTTCCAACGCAATATTTGTTGCACCTTAATGTCAAGAATGATTTGTGATAATTCCTGTCCTTCATCGATTATGGGTATCTGTTAAAGAGAGATTTGAGAGTGATCAGCAAATCCTCTTAATTTTCTTACCATAATGGCCCGATTCAATGGCAAACGTGGGCAGTTGGCATCAGTTATGGCGATCAGTAGTATGGAAGTCTGTTGGGTAGACTCATAGAATTGCCAAGTACTCTTGCAGTCTGTCACGGTCATGGCAGCTAGGAAATCTAAAAATAGTTTTTATGAAAACGGATGTATATATAATAACTCGGAAACTTTATATATTGTATATTGGCCGGAGATTGAAAAGCATTTCCTTACTCTAACTTTATTAATATGATGGACTAGAGGTGTCTTGAGAAGACGCTGGTTGCATAGAGTTGTGCAATGATTGCTTGAGCTTTCCAATGGCAATAGTTTTAAAAGAAAGGAAAAGTTTCAAGACGTCCGTAATACGGCCAAGGTTCAATTCACAATCTCAACAGATTCCTGGGTGACAGATCATAAAATAACATAACGACATAGAAGACCATGCATATACATATGTACGAGGGGATTAACAAAAGTTCGGTAAGCTGGTGACTTTCAGTTTGTTTTTGTTAAATCTAAAAATACATAAGTCTTTGCAATTACTTCATAAGTCTTTCTTTCAAATTATAAACCGATCGGTTAAAATGGAGACAAGAAAACGCAAGATAGCTAAGGATAGGACAGACGAAGCTCCACCACCAACGTAAAGAGGAATTCCCCATGTAACTCTCTTCGGGTTTCGGCGTAATTTACAGCCAATACAAATACTCAGTGAATGCCAAAATCTTTAATGAATATTTTTAAGTGGTCCCGAAGATTCAAGACCGCACATTTTTCCGTCGAAGACGTTCCCTGAGAAGGTCGACCAAAATCTTCTACTGATGATGTCACTGTTGCTCTGGGGAATATTTTCCGCAGATATCATCTGAACTATGCTAGGTTGAATTAGTTGACTACCGAGTATGAGTCCAGAAGAAGACGAATTGTTAGAGCACCTTTGTAAATCTCTGGTTTTTAGAGAGTTGAGTATGTCAGCCTTACGGAGTTGTTCAAGCATGAATCAAATCGTGCAGACAGTTGGCGTACACAACGGCTCATGTGCGCCTGCTTCGGACAGAGGAAATAATCAAAGCAAATCCGTTTTCTGTGTTTTTTGGGATGAAAACGCGAGATAACGTTAAACGCAAGGACGGTTTATGTGCCCTGTTTGAAGACTCTCCCTCGCTTTTGATCGAAATGAATCAACTAAAGTCGTTCTGAGCTTATTTTTTGAAAATTCAGTGGCACCTCGGCAGAGAATGTCAACTCTTCTGATATGAAATAAAAGCTTCTCATACAAATCCATCAGTAGCCGTTCGGGGGGCGGCGTAGAATAAACTGCAGGTTCCTCCAAATTTTGAATTAAATTTATGAAGTTCATAAACAGAATGACGAGCTGAGTTGATTTAGCCAAGTCCGTCTCTTCGTTTGTACGTCCGTTTTACGCAAAATAATTTCTCAGTTATTGAAATATTTCATCCAAACTTGGAGCACATATGCACTGTTAGATTTAAACTATCATTTGTTGAAATCGGCCAGATCAGACTATGGCATATATAAGACCGACTTTTCAGTTTTGTACTTTTGGGTCATAAAATTGCCTAAAAGCATCTATGAGCGTGCTTTTCTCCACGAGAATCCCAAACAGATGTGAGTGGGAAGCCACCAACGAACCCGACAAGGGAACCTTAGCCATCTGCACAGACGGCTCGAAGCTCGATAGAAAAGTGGGCTGCGAAATTTATTCTCCCATGCTCTCATTAAACATGAACGTGAGTTTCCCAGACCGCTGCAGTGTTTTCTAAGCGGAATTCTTTGCAATCTTGGTATCAAGACAATCGGTTACATTATATTCCGACAGTCAAGCTGCAATCAGATCTCTTCAATGTTATGATTCCACGTCAAAAGTGGCCATAACATGTAGGAGGTTTCTTTACAAACTCTAAACTAAATGCAGTACTGCCGTTGTTTGGGTACCTGGATATAGGGACATCAAAGGAAATTGCATGACAGACGGACTACCAAGGGAAGGAACCCCTCTACTTACGATAAAACAATTACACGATACTGGTTTACCTCTATCCACGGCTAAGCACATGCCTAAACTGGCATTCAACAGAGAAGCTGACGCACTATGGTTGAACGAGATCACGTGCAACGTGACCAGACAGCTATGGCCGAAGTTGGACGCGAATATATCAAACTATCTTATTCTTTTAGACCGGTTCTCCTTTAGCATAACGGCTGGTATAATAACTGGACACTGTTTAATGGGGATTCACGGAATCAAGATAGGCTTTTGCTCTAACGATTTCTGCGGCGGCTAAAGGTACGAAGAAGAGGAGGAGACCATCGAGCTCTATCTCTGCTACTGTCCAGCCTTGACCGCTGCGCGACATAAGTTGCTTGGAAAACATTTCTTCGACAGTACCGTTGGGATAGCCTCAGCGAATATTGGAGCTCTTGTTGCCTTCATAAGGCACACGAAATGGTTCGATCATTTGAGAAGGTGAAGGCAGAAGCCTCAGAGGTAGCGCAATGGGCTGGAGAAAAGCACCGCATCAACCCAACTCTCAGTTCATCTACAAGCGTGAGGTTTGGTATCCAAACACGTATGTATATACATATAAAGATTGACACCGAAAATCAATGAAATGGGAAAACTTCATCATACAGCCCCTCCTACCTTTTTTCCAGTTATAAGCATTTATTTTTAAACATAAAATGAAATACCAAAAAACTAGATAAGTCATGAAAGCTATAAAGACATCTTCTTCATGGCGCAAGACAGTTTTTCTTTCTTGCTTTAACAGCAACTTGCAGCGTTAAGCCTGGAACAATGGATCTCAACCGAAAATGGCTGTGATTTATGACCCCGATTAGTATTTTCTTACCTAACCTACATATGTACGCTTACTCATATGCACACAAACCAACCTTTTTTCAAACGAATTTGACTCCAGGAAAAATATTTAACTTCGATGCCACCATTTTTGAGATTTTCACGTATTGTGTCACTGAGGATTTTCTGAAAATTGGCCAAAATATTTTCACCACGTCGCTGCATGTACTCCTGATCCACCACCACAGCTGCAAAAATGACCAAACCAAACACATACATATAATATATACAATATACAAATAATATGTAATAATATTAATAAATTCATTGTTTTTTCTTCTCACCCAAAGATGCATTTGCCGTTAGAAATGAAGAAAAATCATTGGCTTCAGCATTCCGAGGGAGCAGCGACAGGAAAAATGGCAGCAAAAACAGCCAAATCGTAGCGTAAAAGCGCATTGCACCCACCCACTACTTGCGTTGACGAAAACTAAAACTCAACTAAGCACTGCAGAGCATACGAAAGAGGTTTGAACTCAAAAATAAAACAAAAAAAGCCTCAAATGAATTGAATGTTATAAACAAGGATAATAGAAAAGTGGAAAAAAATATATATTATATTAATTTCTGATTGCATTTTGCGTGCGCCTAACTAACACTTCAAATCGAACCGGCAAGAATACAACGGTACATACATACATACACGCAAATGCAATGTGCCGCCATGGATGAGAGCAAAGGCCAGATTGGTGTTGTTAATATTTAACGAGTGAAATCGAAAGCACGGCCATTGCACTGTGGCGATGAGCCCAACCACTCGTGCATACGCACATACATACACGTATATTGTACTTGCAACATGTATGTATATACGATACATATAAATGTATGTATTTAGTTGCATATAAATCTAAGTTATAGCAAGACAAATTTATTTATTAGAGTATGTATGTATGTAAGCCTCCTGAAAAATGCTTAATATCAAAGTGGGCGTGTATGAGGGATGTTCGAAAAGATATTGGAATTTTATAAATTTTTTGTTTTTATCGGAGTTGTATTAGAAGGGGTCTTTAATATAATATCCTTAAGCTGTCAGCGACAACATAATAATAATGATCTGCAGGCAGACGCGCAGTCTGTGTTGGGATGAAGCTCCCCGCGCTGTGCGGTACAAAATGAGATTTCAGTATTACTTTGGACTGACTAGGCAATTGAAAAGTAAAAACCTCTCTCGACGAGCCAAAATACAACAAGTACCCCGTCCTTTCCGTCCTGTCTTATGGTGACTTTGAGAGAAGGATTTTGCGTAAGATTTATGGTTCTTTGCGCACGGTGAATATTGCAGATGATGGAACGTTGAGCTGTACGAGTTATACGGCGACATTGATATAGTTCAGCAAAAGCAGAGACAGAGCCAACGATAGCTGGGTCATGCAGTATATATTGGTGAAAGCAGCGGAAGAGAAAGACCTTCACTCCGTGGAGCGCGACCTCGTTTCACTCGGTATTTCCAAACAGCGAAGAGGAGAAACGAACGGCACGCTATTGTTGTTTCGGCTATAATTGCGTAAGCGTCGCCAACGCTAATTAAGTAGAAGTACGATACCTGAGTTTATTTAAATCATAGACTCATTAATTTTTATAAGAAATGAAAAAATTAATATTTTTTCGGATTTCATTTGTTTTAAGACGTTCTATTTGACTGTCTTCACGATTGAGATAACACTCTTTTTCTTCATACGGGCCGTCTAGAGTAGGAATCGTCTTGAATTGACCCCAGCAGCTGAGCGACACAAATAAGCTAAGTTAGCGGGAGTCTCACACCCGCATCATATAAGAGTGATGGCGCTGACGAACTACCACTGCAATTGAAACGAGGAGGAGGGCAAGATATGCAGACAATGAAGCGAAAAGTCCCTACGAGTTCATGGATAGGGATTTCAAAGAAGACTTATTGCAGCTGCAAGAGAATAAGTAGCCGGAACTTAGCCTGACGGATCACTTGTAGGATAGCCAGGATTATAAAATTAGGAATTTAAAATAATTTCAGGAGCCGGTAGCCAAGTGGTTAGGATTGCGTACCGCCATTCGGAAGGCTCGGGTTAAAATACCCGGGCGATCGACATCCAAATGTTGTAGAAAATTAAGCAAAACTTCCTAATTGCGGTCACCCCTCGGCAGGGAATGTCAAGCCCTCCGAGTGTATTTCCGACATGAAATGAAGTTTCTCATAAAAAAACCATCAGCCGTTCAGAGGCGGCTTCGTATATACTGTAGATTCTTCCATTTGTTGAAAAAACACGCTTAACCACAAATTGGAGGAAGGAGCTCGGCGGAAAATCGCTTTAACGGTTATGTACATATCAATGTATTGAAACAATTCTTGTATTAAATCAGACTATATTTCTCCAAAGATTTGATTTCAATATAAAGCCGCTACCAGAGGATGATACTCCCAGGTGTAAATGGGAAAGCGGTACTGTACACTGATACTATCTTAATCTGTACCGACGGGACTAAAATGAATGCGGAAAGATCTTGACATCTTTCTATCTTTGCATCTACTGAACTCAGCTCCCATCCTTCGGGCACTCATCAGGTACTCCACTTAGAAATGTCCTGTACTGGAAAAAAGCTCCTTATAAAAATCCAACAGCCGTCCGCAGGCGGCTTAGAATAAACTGTAGATCTCTCCAAGGCGCATATCAAACATTGGAAGAAGAGTTTGGCCAAAAATCGCTGCGTTAGTTACTAAGTGTATTTTATATATATTGGTCAAGTAAAAAGTTCGTTCGGTTTTTATCTAAGAGATAGCCTTATTGTCCGTAGTACTGGTCGGCATATTTTACAAATTTTTCTTCGACCAAGGCGAAAAATCAGCCAAGGCGGCTGAAAAAACTAATTTAGTTTATGGGCCCGATACTGTAAACGAACGTGTGGCACAAAGTGGTTTGTTAGGTTCCGCTCCGGTAATTTCGATGCCAAAGATGCACAAGGTTTTGCTGTGTGTTTGGAGCGATTTGGCAAGGAATCGTCTACTGCGAGCTACTCCCTTATGGCCAAACACTCAATTCGGCTCTCTACTGCCAACAAATGGACCGCTTGAAGGCAGCACTCATACATAAGAGGACATCTTTGATCAAAAGATTCCGAATTGTGTTCCATCAAGACAACGCTAGGCCACACGCCTTTGGTGATACGCCAGAAGCTCCAGGAGCTCGGATGGAAGGTGCTAATACACCCACCTTAAAGTCCGCACCTGACACCCAAGTCATTACCATCTTTTCATGTCCATGGCGAACGCGCTTATTGGTGAGAAGTTGGTCTCAAGAGAGGTCTGTGAAAATCGGCTCTCCGGGTTTTTTTGCCACAAGGGACGCAGCATTCTACGAGAGGGGTGTAATGAAGTTGGTATCTCGTTGGTAACAAGTTTACGAAGAAAAGGGCGCATATTTGACTTAAATCGGACAAATGTACCCGAAGTTATCATATTTTGAAAAACCATAAAAAACCGAACGAACTTTTTTATTCAGATTAACGACACAATAATGAATCCAGGGCAGGGTCTGCTTCGAGATGGCCGCCGATTTTGTTAAACAATGCAACTTACTTTTGGTTGAGTGGGTTCGTAAATAAAAAAAAATTATCGCATTTGGAGAGTTGATGTATGTATGTATGTGTAAATTGAATTGAATTCGAAAAAGATGTTGTAGAAAAAGAAAAAACTTAAATGAAAAAAAAATATATTAATAATTATCCATGAATTTCTACTAAATTTAACCATCTTTTCCTTTCCAAAGCAAAATATGTATATAACACTTGGATCATTTAGCTAAATAAATGAATTTTTTCATTGCTAAAATCCATTCCCAACTCATTTGGCTAGCATTTTATATTTTCGCGCCTTCCACCTACATCCGCTACAACTGAGCTGCATAGTATATATAGTATAATATAATATACTCGTATTACATACTTAATTATGTATGTACACATGTACTATTCATATCCAACTACTCCTACTTGGGACGAACCTGCCATTGCCGGTGTGCACGCAGCCAGTGGGCGAACGATTTGTGGGTGGGTAAGTGTTTATTGCTGGCTTGTCATAAAAACAAAGTAGCTGTGAAATTGTGTGTTCAAATTAGTATATGACAAGTATATAAATATATAGGCGTATGCGTCAGACCCAATAGGAAATGCAGTAGTTATTTGTTGGGATTAAATTTGGCGCGTCGAATGTTTTTTTTATTATTCGATAAAATATTTAAAATGGAGGTGTATCAACAGCACTTCAGGGTATATGTGAAAATAATTTCAAAAATACATAGTAACTCACTAGAAGCAATGAAATTTCTAATTTGCGGTGCTCTTAAAAATAATTGAATTTTTAGCACGAGCAATAAGATCGAAATACCAGTATCCCAGGCAATAATTGAAGCTGAGAATTACACAAAATTGTTTTATCAGTAAGAGACTTGGCTGGTTCAACTATAAAGATCCATAGCTGACAACTTAAGTGCCACTTCATAAAGTTCTTCAACCACGGCTCACATAAAGCTACGATAGAGAAAGTCGTAAAGTTTACACACAAAGGACAGAGTTTATGGAAAGTAGTTTCGTTTTCTAGACCACAATTCACCACCCATTCTATAAAAGCTAAGGACGGATGATATTTACAGGGACCATGCAATTTTTAGGCAATAACACAAGAGGTGTGACAATTAAGTAAAGAGACTGATGCCATAAAAACCGTATATTTCAAAATTATTCTATAACTTTGCCACTCCCTTGAAAGTAGTCCCCTTGGGCTGCTATGCAACGATTCCAAGGCGTTTTCCATGCTTCGTAACATTTCTAGAACGCTTCGACTGAGATGTCCGCAAGAACCCTCGTCACGGCCGCCTGGATATCCTCAATCGACTCAAAATTGGTTCTTTTGACCACTGATTTTTTTCTAGGGAACAAACAAAAGTCACAGGGGGACATATCGGGCGAAAAAAGCGGTTGTTGCAACACGGCGATCCCTTTAGAGGCCAAATACTGGGACACGCTGAGGGCGGCGTGGCACGGCGCGTTGTTGTAATGAAGAATCCAGCTACGAGCGAGGTCTGGGCGCACTCTCTTAACTCGTTTTCGCAGTCTTTTGAGTATTTGGCGATAGTAGACTTGATTTACGGTTTGCCCCGGTGAAAGAAATTCTTTGTGGACGATTCCACGGCTTTCCAAAAAGGAATAATATTCCATTTTCATAAGGAGCAGTATGAACTCAACACAACACAGCAGGCGAAGTAAAAAAGCTAGAGCAATGGCAAATATATAATTAGAGAGAAAAAGGATGCCGGGAGAACAGAAAGGTAGTCCAAAGGTCATAGGGTTACCACAATCGCGGCAATATATTATTAATTGTCACACTTCGTAAAGTCTTCTACTCAAAAATTGTATGAAGAATGTTAACAGCTTTCCAAGCTTGAAGCTGCCAAAGGAGCATCGTACAGTTTTATATTTTGCCGCATATGACGGCTTACGCATTGCTACTAAAAACCAGCGAATTCTGAAGACTACATCACATAGGTCCCATACAACCCATTTGTTCAAATTTGAGTTGTTGCGTCGAAAATCCTTCAAAAACTTCGTCTAAAAGTGAGTTATTTGGTATTTGGTTGCGTAAATATATACAAACATACATTGTCACCGATAATCGGAGGATTATAACGTATACTCGTATGTAGCTCCCATACACTGATTTTTTTTTTTTAAATTTTCTTTTGGTCAAAACTTCGGACTTCATTGTACTTCAAAAGCTGATATTCATCAAAAGAAGATTATGCTGTCAGTTTGGTGGGATTGGAGGGATGTGTTATATTTTGAGCTGGTTCCAAGGGCCGAACGATTCATTCGGATGTCTACTGTGTATAACTGCACAAATTGAATATATCCATCAACGAGAAGCGACCAGAATTGGTCAATGGTAAAGGTGTCATATTCCACCAGGACAATACTAGACCGCAGACATCTTTGGTCACTCGCCAAAAACTGGGAGAACTTGACTGGAAACTGTTGATGCATCCACCATATAGCCGTGACCTTACACCGTCAGACTACCATTTGCTTCGATCTTTACAGAACTCATTAAATGGTAAAACTTTCGATAATGACGAGGCTATAAAATCGCACTTGATTCGGTTTTTTTGCAGATAAAGACCAGAAGTGCTTTGAGCGTGACAAAATCATGTTGCCGGAAAGATGGTGAAAGGTCATCCAACAAAATGAAAACAACGTAATTGATTAAAGTTCATTAAAAAAATTAAAAAAAAAAATTCTTTAAATTCTTCTTTAAATTTAATTCTTTTTGATATTTATCTAATTAATAGTTTTTTTAGTGATATTTTATTCCTCCAACTCAGCATAATAAGTGTAATTGACTACTTAATTGAAGTCAATACTAAAAAAAATTGTCATTAATTTATCAATAACACAACACTACAACAAAGTTTTCCCTGCAGGGCATACGAATTACCGCTACCCGCAAATTTGGCCGCATATGCCATTTTGTTAGGTTGAAAATTTGAAATTAATTGAGTTTACCATCACAACGTTGGACAATTAAATTGGCGAGCGCGTAAAACACAATAATAATTTTCATCAATCTTTTTTACTTCAATGTTTTTTTTTTTTATTTCATTTTCAGTTTAGAAATACATATATATGCATGTTTCTATATATGTATATGTATGTATGTAATACTAAATCGATTTGTGCTTTTCATAAACCGTTGTTTTATTAATTAAACTATGCAATTGTGTTTCGACTTATGTATGTATGAATATGTACCATTGTAGTAGATGAGTATGAGTATGCGTATGTATCTATGTATGCTTGTTGTTGGTAGCAATTTTCACTTAATTTATTATTTAATACTAATTTCTATTGTTATTATTGTAATGCTAAATACTACAATATATTGGTTACATTTGTGTTTACACTTGAATCGCTTACAACTAATATATCGTTAATAAATTTGATTTAAATAAAAGGAAATTAACTATAAACTATAACTATAACGTGTATGTAAGTATGTATGTAGTCGAGTTATATTTATAGCTGTGTTAGGAAGTCGTTATTCGGAAATATTATTAAGCTTGATTTATGACTATTATAAAATTTCATTATATTTATATATGTATATGTATGTATATATGTATATATATATGTATATATGTGTATATGGCGTTGAAGTGATTATTTATGGATATGGTTTTTAGGAATAAATTAGCGGTTGCGCTAAGTTTTGTGCAAATTTAATAAAGTGTTTGATTTTTCGATACTTAAATAAATATTATATTATTATATTATATTTATTTAATGTACTCCATTTTGATGTATGTGTTTAGCATTTTGCATATAATACAGCGAAAATCCAATATTAATTAACTCTAGTGCTAAACGTTTGTAAACTTATCACTAATACGAGTATTGTTTTAATGAAATAAATATGATTTTTAATTTTGTGACTTGAAAAATATATATTTTACTAACTACATATATCTATATGTAGATTTATTATACTAAAGCCGAAAATAAAAATTTACCACACAAAATTCATGATTACACAAAAATTGATTATAAATTTTACGCCTAAAATTATGCGAGAAAATCTACTTTTAAATGTTCAAATTTTTTTTCAATTTTTTTTTTTGAACTGACTGCATTTTTTGTCCATAATTTTAGCCACAATATTATTCAATTTGGTAGATCTATGCATTTGGTACGGCCTCCGAGAATCGCCCTATGCAATCTTATGCTGGATCGCTTAAAATTACTGTTTTTTCGACCCTATAAAAAGTATAGTTAACCAAATCGTGTGCAACAATATCAGCTTAATCGTTAAAAAAAACTTGTTTTTCGACGCTTAAAAAATGTATAATTTTTTTTGGAAAAATGTAGAGAAACAAATATTTTGAAATTATTAATTTTTATGGATATTATTAATTCATCATTACCCCGCAAACAACGCGACTACTACATGCACGCCTGAAATATATACTCCACATGGACTATGGAGTAATCCAAAAGAAACCACAATCCATACAAAAAATGTTTTCTAATTATCATTGTGTTATCCTATGGCTAGATCATATCCTCATATACTCCACTTCCGCTTAACATCGGAGCAAACCATGTAGTAGATTCAGTGGGTTTTATTATGAAGTATGTATATACGAAAAATTACATTCGAACATGCTTTTCATTTTCGAATACAATCCACATTGGTGAAAAGTTAGTGAAACTTAATAATTTTCAGTGAAAATTAAATTAATATTAATAATATATTGCCAATAACTATAAAAAAAAATATTTTAATTTGTTCTTTTGGGTTCCAATTAGAGATGATATTTTTAATATCCTGCTATTCCGCTAGATGTCACTCTGAAGCTATAATTTTGTGTCATTTGATATGTAAACACTACGTCAGTAATTCAAATTGGAATGATATACATCTCAACAGCGCATTGAAATTATTAAAATTCACTAAAAAAATTTCATCGAAAAATCATCTTGACGGATGACGATCTTTCAAAAGGGAAAGTTTTTTTTTGAATATTAAGCTCTCATTGGCAAACCGTTTATACTACTAACTAAAATTTCATCTCGCCATCTGTGTATCAACAGTGCCCACCAACAAAACGAAAATGAATTAATTTCATTTTCTCAAATTTTCTTTATACGAGTATAAATTTTATTGCGCATTTGCAACTTGGTTCAGTAATTACGATCGCGAAACCATGAACAATCTTAATCGGTTGAATCGGTTAACAACGAGTTGGTCGCGAGATGTCAGTTGATCCAATAGTACATTACAAAGGAGTACTCATTGGATTACTCCAATGGACCTTATGGCATAAAAATGTTTGCAGGGTTTTTACCGCTTATAGATAAAGAAATGCGTAAGTGTGAATTATACTTAAACCAAAAAATTTTTTAAAATTCATGGAAAAGCAAAGTTTGTAAATTACTTTTGCGAAAATCTCGTTACTTAAATAAGTATAGAAAAAATAGCACAAAAAAAAAACATCCAAAAAATTTCTAAATATTTTCGCCGCGAATAACATTGAAAAATTTAGTTTCATGGTCACTCTAATATTTGTTTCTATCCAAGACCGCAGTTCAGTATGGAGTATAAAATAATATATTTAAATGCATACTTATAGACCTCTTTTTTGTTTACGCCCAGTGAGCTTTCCCATATGTTTGTATGTATCAAAATCATTTTGAATTTTTCATTCAAACCGAAACTTTTCCGACCTCAATAATACATTTTGCCTGTTATTTCGCTCGTCTTTCAAACCCACACATCTTCGGCTTAATCTCATTCATGCAGAATCGCACTTAGCCGCTCCTCGACGGCGACTTTTCGCGATTTCCACACAAATTCACAAACTGCAATAACACATGCCACGCCCATGCCGCCCATTAACACTACGAACACACCGCCGACATTCGCCAAACCCAACTCATTTGCCGCCGATGATGATTTCGATGTTTCAACACGACAACTACCACCGCCACGTTTCTCTTTCCACCATTTGGTTTTCAGTATATGCAATTTGCCCTCCTCCTGCAATTTGAGTATGACACCATTGATGGCGGTGCGGTAGGGAGAATCTATGAGATAGCAGAGAGTTAATCATTTTTACTCTCATCAATATGAAAATGTTTGAAATATTAGTTGAAATATTTTTGTTTACTTGGTGGCGCTGCTATGCCATAACCTTTGGTGTCCAACATGCCGCCCACCTGTGTCAGCTCACAATTACGTTCGGTCACATATTCAATGGATGTGGATTCCATGAGGAAGGCGTATGAGCCTGTTGAGTGAGAAGTTAACATAAATAAAAATATATTTAAAATTATTTACTATTTACTTTGTTGAATATTTACCTTTGCCCTTTGCTACTCGCTCCACTCCTTCGGCATTGGTTGAGGTGAATACAGACGGTCGTGCGGATTCCATGAACGACCACATTCGTTGGTAAGTGGAAATTTTCGATTCCTAAGAAAAGAAGTTGAAGAAATGAAAATAGTTAGAGTTATCGGTATGACGGTAATCTTAGGAAGAGCTTTTTGTAGTCCGCGAGCAGTCCAACTAACGAGGGCTCCAGAAGTACCTAAGGCGAGCAGAAAAGCTGTACATTCTAACCGTCTTTAAAATTTCGGAACACTACGGTGACGTAGATCACTTCACTAAAGGGACGAGGAGAAGGACAAACGCAATATCGGACCTGGTCTTGCGTCTCATTTGGTCCTCAAGCAACAAATGGAAGATGTTAAATCCTTACACCTCTAAATGTAAAAGTCTTTCTGGCACGAAATAGCGAAACTGAAGTTTTTTTTTGGTGGTGTGGTGTACATCCGTAATCGCAGCAGAGCAGATACCGTCAAGAGCAATATGAGATAAGTTAATATTTTTGACGTGTATATGGGCGAGGCTGCTTGAAGACATAAAAAGTGGCACAGAGCAGTGGTAAGCGTGTCTCCATAAGGAAGTGTTTTTCTTCAAGTCGTAGGTCTGAAAAGTTGTTAGAATTCATAGATGTAAGACGAACCCGGGCGCTTTTGTTTAGAACAGGTCGAGCAGATGTTTCGCTACGGTAAGCCTACCCTTCGCAAATGAAGTCGGTTAGGTTTTCTCTGATGTATTGAGAATTTTCTCGGTTTCGATTAATGGATCGCTTTTTAGGTCACATCGAAGCTACCTGTTGTGGTAAATATTTTGGCGACACTCCAAGGGAACTTCAATCAATTTTTTGATTCCTCAAGACGAAAAGATGGAGGTATATACATACATGTATGTATTATGATTGAAATCTCAGGCGCCGATTTCCTATACCCCCCTGGTGATATTTAAATTTACTTACTCTGAAAAATGCTGCCGTGCTGCCACCCTTTAAAGCGCCATATTTAATACGTGTCTGCTTAGCAAGATCCTCAGCGCTCTCGATTGGAGAATCCATACGCTCCACTGTGAGAAAAGCAGCCAAATTGGCTGTGTACGATGAGATCATGATTAAAGTGAAAAACCACCAAATACCAGCTACCATGCGAGTTGATAAAGCTCTAAAAGAGAATCGAGTTTAGAGGATGTCAAAAATGGAAAAAGTTCCTGCTACACCTACTTGGGCAAAAAGTCACAGCCCTGCTGCATTAACGAACCAATCGCAAACCACATGCAATTCATGAGCGTAAATTGACTCTCGACCTTTTCGCCATGAGCATCAGCGTATGCAGGCCATTCATAGGGTGTGAAGCTGAAAGATAAATAAAGAAATCAATTGGGTTGAGTTAAAAGTTATTGCACATTTCGAAAAAACGCTTACCGCGCCAAAATGAAGAGCAGCACGGAAACACCCAAATAAGCTGTTGCCATATAAATCCAGACATCCAGCGAAAGCGGTGAGAGAAATGAGAATAAGTTCGGTGGTTGCTTAACGGGTTTGCGATAAAGCACTGAAACGCCCAAGTTCATGAAGGGCATAGTGAAGTCTACCGCTTGTTCACGCTCGAAAGTAATGGTGAGATCGGCGACTGCTAGATCGGCGCGTTGTTCCAGCAGCTCGCGTATCATGCCATTCCATTCGCTGAAATGGGAAATTGCTAGAAAAAAAATTCAATACGAAATTAATAGTTTCTCACTAACCCATTTTGTTTATTAAAACTGCCATAGTTGCCGTCCGGCACCAACTGTATTTTATAGTTGAAGCCCAATGCCTTCGATATCTCATGTATGAGATCAACAACATAGCCCTCAAACTGATCGTTGCCTGTGAGTGGCACTGCTGACTCTTTGCGCATGCAATATGGATTACTCTGAAAGTGCGGTGGATCATCATGAATACATACATATTTACCAACATATTTATACAACGTTCACTATACCCACCAATATTGTGGTGATCGTCAGCGTTTTGTTCTTCAAGTTCGCTTCAATTTCGCGCTGTTTCTGGCTGTAGGTACGCGTAAAGTTGATACCCTCCGGTAATGTTGAGTTCCATGTGCCAATTTTTCGTATACCCATCGGCCCCAATTCTATAATGTCCAACACGAAATCGGTGCGAAAGCCTTGATGATCAAATTTGATCACATTCGTGAGTCCCTTCATTTCGACGATTTTCATGTAGTTGATTAAACTGAAACCATGTTGCCACGTATTCTGCCCGTCACAGCTAATCGGATGTATATCTATTTGCTGTGATGTGTCCAAATCGTGCAATGCTTTGGCGAAGAGATGTACTGCGTCGTACATTAGCGCCGTCTCCGCTCTCACCGTACTCAAATTGGCTGAGCGTTGTAAGCCTTTATCGTCGAAACTCCAGTGGCGCACCACATCCGAGACGACTTTTTCATTAATTAGCCGAAAACCAGTTATATTCGTCCCACCATAACGGAATTCGTCCAGATTAATGGTATGTAGATCGAGTGACGTAATCAAATAACTGTGATAATCGCTCATCATGCCAATTTGTTGCGCTTGCTTGAGTACTTCGTATATCTTGTCGGTGGAACAGTCGAGTACGATGTGCGCTTCGGCGGAGTTTTTGATTTGTTTGAGTAGAGGTCTAGGGGTTGGGAGAGTAAAGCAGATTTAGATTAATAATAATTAGTTTTAGACTGAGTAGGGTTCGCTGTCTTTAATTGTGTTTGAAAAATCGTGATGCTGGTTTTAGTATCCTCGACATCTTAGCGGCACTACCAGGTATGTAAATAAAAAATCGGAATTTGCCTATAGGTTGCGCTAGATGTCGGTGCAGCTACCGAGACATCACGTCAGCGGTGTCTTGTTATTGTATTGATATCCGACAAGGATTTCCACCTCACAATAGAACGAGTTTCATGCAGCAGCATTATTTATTTATTTATTAGAGATGAACATGTCGAGCTTAGTGCCAAAAAATTAGGATTTGAGGACAGCACTACTTTTCTGTTTTCATCTGAAGACAACCGCAGCCACATCGCATCGAATGCTCGTGGAGGCGTTTTGTAAGCATGCTCTCTATAAAACATAGAATTTCGAGTGCTTCAAATGATTCAAAAGTGGTGATTTTGATGAAAGATAATGCTATGTGTTTGGTGGGATCAGAAGGGCGTAAACAACTACGAGCTGCTGAAATCTGGGGAAACTGCCGATACTCAACGCTACCGACAACAATTGACCGATTTGCATCGGGTTTTGAGTGAAAGACAACTAAAATACCGACAAAGATAACACAAGGTGAATTTGCGGCATGACAATGCAAATCAGACAAAGCAAAACAGGTCCAGGAAACGGTAGAGTCGTTCAGTTGGGATATTCTTCAGCACGCAGCTTACTCACCAGACCTTGCCACATTCGATTACTACTGGCTGGCATCGATGGGACACGCACTTGCCGAGCAGCGCCTTACTTCTTACGAAGATGTACGATGGCTCTATGACTGGTTTGCCTCAAAAGCGCAACAGTTAATTTTGGCGCAGAATCCACCAATTGCCAGAAAGATTTGAAAAATGTTTAGATAGCAACTGACAATGCTTTGAATAAGTTACTTTGTATCATATCATTCAGAATAAACTTGTTTTCATACTTGCGCACCTGGTGAAGGTTCATCATGGCTTCCATTTAGCGATGGTCACTGATGAATCTCAGCCATCACAGGGTCATTAGTATGGATAACCACAAACTAGTTAATTGATAAATCCTTGGTCAGTCTTGATCTTCGCTCTCAAAGTGCTGGAGACAATCATAAAAGTGCTAACATTATCCCTGATATAAATTCTCTTTAACAAAGCTTGCAAGTAGGTGCTAGATCCACTTAGCAGAAATTAATTCTTAACTTAATTCTTTTCTCTCGAAAACTCCTAGCGCCGCAGCATTAAATGTTGATATCGTTCATGCTTCCTCACCATATGACCGGACACGAATGATGAGGGACTTGTACAATTTAAGAAATAGAGCCTTAGTAGTGGGTAAAGAGATTTAATAGATCTAAGAATCCTTTAATTACAAGATCTTTGAAGACCCGATAGCCAGATTTCAATCAATTTTAGCGCTTTGTCTACGATCCTTACTAACCTTGAAGAGAGAGGTGAAGGCCTCGTCTGAATCCCGAACAAGTGAGATATCAAAAGGCTCCGAAGATTCTGTTTTCATGCTTTACTCTTTCTATAATAAACGTGTAAGAAGCAGTCAGGACTTCTCCTGTTTTCGGTATTCACTCCATTTTTTCGCTATAACATGAAGGGAGTAAAAATAGATTTCTCATCGAAGTCATCAAATGAAATTTTAAGTACCTTCTTATTGAAGGGAGAGGTTGTCCCTGCAGGTTGGTTGGTTGGTGGGTTGGTGGCTGCCGGGCATCGGCACATCTACGCCCCAAACGGGCTCATTGTGATACCACTGAGGATCCCAAACGACTCACACCCATTAATCGAATCAAAGTGTGGAGTTCGCAAAACTGAGCAGTTGTCGCATCTTAGTCCCCGCTATCTCGCTCTGTTCTCCGAAGGTTGACGCCCCTAGAGACTTCAGTCTATTCCTCCAAAGTGCGGGGCATTCGAAACGAAATTGCCTCAAAGTTTCCGGTGCTTCTTCCTGTCTGCAACTTCTGCAGAAATAATTAAATGCCTGCCTAATAAGATATGTCCTGTAAGAACGACCTGAGGGTTAGGCGCTCAAAAATTTATCCGTTGTAAGACATGCCTATCGTAGGAGGCGACTAAAATTCAACAGTTGCCGTGACAGTCGGATCAACACCGATCTTTATTTGAACAAGAAATTTCATTCCCGTAATATTCCCCGAAAACCGATTCCGGGAATATTTTAGGGTTGCAACAGTAACAACAACAGAGGCAGAGGTATCATAAAGGTGGTACTCTTCATAAGGTGGCTTTCTTGTAATAAAAAATTAACTTGCCACTTTGGTAGATTCTGACCGGTAGAAAGAAGGCAGAAATTAAGACACCCTGGAATCTCCAAATTAAATAATTAAAACTAGTATATATGATAGGGTATCCTTCTAAGACTCTGCTGTACTCTTCTGTTCATGCAATGTCTATTAGAGGACCGACAAAACTTTTGGCTAGGCGAGTTCGTACTTTTCTCAATGTATCAGATGAAGAAATCTTAAACTTTTGATTGAATCTCCCCCTCTATTTTCCCCCCAAAGTAAGTCCGATGCTCCTCGCGTTTATCCTGAATTTGCAGTAGTACAAGTATAGCAACAAGTATAAGTATATACAGTAGCGTGCAAAACCAAGCAAGTGCTTAGGAAATTCACTTTGAAATGCTATAAAAACATAATTACGCAAACGAGCTAAAAAAAAGCTTTATGTGCGTTTAAATACAGTTCGACGACACCAAAAAAAAAGCTGCATAAATATTAAACAAAACAGTTACCGAATGGACGGCGCGAAGAGCTTTGAATAGAATTGGTTTGAAATCCACCATTAGGAAGAAGCTCGTCTAGCTTTCTGCAAACAGCATAAAAAATGGAAACTAGAAAATTGAGTACTGGAAATGTGTGATTTGGTCTGACGAAGTGAAGATTAACCGCTTTCAGTCTGATGGGATACGCCATTACTGGCGCCGTCCTAAAGAAACTATCCAAAGGCATCATGTAAAGCAAACCGTAAAACATGGAGGAGGCAATTTGATGGTATGGGGTCTTGTGAAAGTAACTGGTATAATAAAGAAAGAAGACTGCCTGAATATTTTGCAGGCCAATTTGCCAGACTTCGTAGTTTTGAGTGATTACCACGAAATCAGAGTGATTTTCTAACAGAATGGGATCCAAAGCACAATGCCAAAGCAGCATTTTCAGCTAATCGAGTGGTCGGCACAATCCCCGGACCTCAATCCAATTGAGAATTTTTTGGGTGATAATGAAAAGAAGGCTAAGGAAGGTATCAAAGGGCTCCTGGGAATATGCACAATACGAGTGGCAACAAATTAACGTTGAAAGCATGTCGTCATAAAAAATAAAGGCCTTTCGACCAAGTACTGAAACCAATACGACGTATGTTTGCGGAACGTGGAAAACTGAAAAAATGGGGCTGATTTAAATTTTCTTACTTTTTCTGTTTTTCATATTTAACTTTTAAATTTAATCGTAAGTTTAATGAGCTAAAAAAAAATATATTATTATAATTATTATTATTGGCGCTTTGTGACCGCTGAAGCGATTTTCGGTCGAGCTACTCCTCCAATTTATGGTTTTGCATCTTGATGTTTTTCCAACAAAGGGAGGGACCTAGAGTTTATACGAAGCCGCCACCGAACGGCTGATGGTTTTTTCATGTCAGAAATACACCCGGAGGGGTTGACATTCCTTGCCGTGGGGCGACCGCAATTAGAAAGTTCAACTTAATTTTTTATTGTATTTAAAACTCATTTTCTATAATTTTTTTTTAAGTTTTCATTTGATGCTACCGCGGTTGTCAATAACAAAAATAAATTACCTTTCGTTTTATTGAATTTAGTTATTTTTTCATATTTTTACAGCGTTTTAAAGTTAAATTCACAAATATTTGCTCGGTTTTGCACGCTACTGTATAATTTAACTGAAATTAAGGTCACTTACCTATAATCGCCCGAATAGCTCAGTTGTCGCACTGTAATCGGATACGGTGAGCTATCATGCGCCTTGATCAGCTCCTGTAGCCGTACAATGCCGTCATTGTTCTCATAGATAATCGTGAAAGTCTTCCATTCCCAATACTTGACGATATCCACGTAAGCCTGCCAAGCAAACAATGTGATAATAATGTATAAGTATAACAGTAAAGCCGATTCATTGTAAGTTAATCACTCATAATTATTTTAAGTAGCTTAAAAACATTATCAAATGTGGGCGAATGTGTGTGTTTGTATGAGTGTCTGTGTGTTAGTGAATGAGTTTGCGACATACCTTGGCTAATGTATTTGGATGTGGATATAAGTTCACCAGGCAGCTTTCACGGCGTAAGCGATAATCCCAACGATTCTCCAAGTGAGGTATCTGTGGCGAAGAGAGACGAAAGTGAAAAAAGAGATTTTAAAACCGAGAAAAATAATGGCGAAAGAACTGCAATGATGCAAGCAAATCTAATGTGCATATTATTTGCATTAATTGTGTGTGTGTATGTGTGTGGGTGTGTGTGTGTGTAGTAAATGTTAATCCTAACACACACACATACATACGAGTGCATACATACCTCCATATTGTCGCAGATACTTTGCACATGGCTCGCGGTGTTGGAAGATTGTGGCCCGAAAATGGCTGCCACGCCAATGTTCAACAAGCCGCAAACTGTAAATGGCGGTAAATAAAAAAACAACAAAAAAAAAACAAATCAGTAAATTCTCTGCTGAGCCAAAACTAGCAAATTTATTTAAAACAACAAACAACCAGAAATATTTGTATATTTGTATGCTTGTAAAATAAAAACAAAAGTGCCGCTACAGCCAAACTGGCGATAAAACCGTTATTCGTTTGCTTTTATAGCTGGCTTTACGAGTTTGAACAACTCCCCTCGCTCAGTGGCGCCCCGCACTCTTGCACAAACACATTTTGCCCTCAACTATTTTTTACTTGTCTTACATTTCGTTTTCATCGCTGTCGCCAAAGCGCTACGTAAACATTTATATGCGAGCATATACCGCGAGTGAGTGAGCGCATAAATGCCAGGCCATTTCCCAGGCGTGCTATGCCATGCTCTGCACTGTCTGCTGTCGCTACGCTGTTGGCCATACTGATTTCGGCGTCCGTACTGTGTGTGCTTGCAATCCAGCTCGCAAGGATTACCAAGCCAACTCATTCTTATTTTCAATTATTCGTTTACTGTTTGGCTTTATGTGTGTTTGTGCATGAAAAGCGGAAGTTTGTCGTATTCGTGTAGTATTTTGTTGGCTGAGCTTTATCGCGACCCCACCAACTGGCGTTGTGATTAAGGAGACGACATTTTTTAAACCGATTATCTACTATACTGATTTTATAATAAGAAGCAGTCACAGTGTGGGTGAAATTTCAGTGAAACTATTGCCGCATTTTTTATGATAATATTATGCTTCTGCTCCTTTTGAAATTTCACAGAACAATGGCTGATAAGTAGCAGAGAAGATTTATTAAAAACTTGATAAGAGCTCACGAGTTTAATATTATGAATAAGCACATATATATAGACACACATATACATACACGTACATATATGCGCTTATACCAAATTATACATACAAAGTTATGAAACTATGTTTTCCCCCCGAGGTGAAGAAAAAACTTTTTTCTATCGGCACTCGTTAAATTTCAAAGCAAACAGTAAAAAAAGAGAGAAAACAACATTCGGAAATTAAAAGTTCTCATTCTCGTAATGAGGTTGAAAGTTCTTTGACAAAAAAAAAAAATCACCATACAGCCTTTCCAGGGAAAACATGATGAAAATGTTTTGAATTCAATGGAAGGCCTATGGTGAATTGCTTCCGGTTAAATCACATTCTTCTTCTTCTTAATTGGATCCAATTTGATATACCAAATGCTGGCAGCTCCTGCTCTAAGTGGTTTTCAAAAAGTATTGGTGCTCTTCCTCTTCTCTTGCTTCTCTTGGGTGCAAGGATTTAAAAGTTGGAATGTTTTCATCGTTTTGACTGGCATGACGTAGTGATCGTAGCCCTTACCTAATGATACTCTAAAGTATATTAATGATGGCCCCAATAGACGAGTGATTAGCATTGCGTACCACCATTCTGGAGACAAGAGTTCCAGTCGACCAACATCCAAAATCAGTGAAAAACTACTCCGATAGTCAGGCTGCAATCAGATCTCTTCAAGTTAACAGTACCACGTAAAAAAAAAAACTCTCTCTCTCTCTGGCAGACGAACTCGGAATAAAAATAACCCTTCTATTTACGATAAAACTCTCACATGATGCTGGTTTACCTCTAACCACGGCTAAGCACATGCCTAAACTGGCATTCAACAGAGAAGATGACGCACGATGGTTGAATGAGATCACGTTTAACGTGGCTAGATAGCTATGGCCGAAGTTGGACGCGGAAAAATCTAAACATGTTATCCTTCTGGACCGGTTCTCCATTAGCATAACGGCTGGTATAATAACTGGACACTGTTTAATGGGGATTTACGGAATCAAGATGGGCTTTTACTCTAACGATTTCGGCCGCGGCTATAGGGACGAAGAAGAGGAGGAGACCATCGAGCACTACCACTGCCACTGTCCAACCTTGACATACGCGCAACACAAGTTTCTTGGGAAACACCTCTTCGACTGTCTAGCTGAGTTGGCCTCAGAGAGCATTGGAAATCTCGTTGCCTATATAAGGCACACGAAATGGCTCGATCATTTGAGAAGGTGAAGGCAGGAGCCTCAGCGGTATTACAATGGGCCAATTGGTCTAAGTGTGCTGGGGGTTTCGACCAGCAGCCGCATCAACTCAACTCAACATCCAAAATTTTGAAAAATTAATTTTTCAAACTGCGGTTGCCCCTCGGCAGGGAATGCCAAGCCCTCCGTGTGTATTTCTGACATGAATAAACAAAAGCTCCTCATGAAAGAACGATTAGCCTTTTGGAGGCGGCTTAGTATAAACTGCAGGTCCATCTACTTGCTGGAAATGCATTAAGACACAAAACTACAAAGTGGAGGAGCAGCTGGAGGTCCTCTATATACTTTACCCCACATACGACCTCGATTTTCTGCTTCTAATACACTGTTTCAGTAGCAACATTGGCCGGATAGTTAGCACTGCATACTGTCTTGCGGATAGCCATGGGTAACGGGTTCGGTTATTGGTTAGAAAATTAATTAATTGTCTTTGTTGCTTAGCAGTCGTTTTCTGATATGCAGTAAAAACTCCTCATAAAAAAAAACATCAGCCCTTCTCTAGCGGTTTAGAATAAACTTTAATTCCCTTCCCTTGTTATAAACAACATGGCACACACCACCAATGACATATGCACATATATATACATATACATATATACGCTGTTTCTTTAATGCCAGCTTTGGTATCGATTCTCGTTTAGCAAGAGTCTTTTACTCTACTGTTCCATAGAATTCTTATTCGGCGACGGTGCCTCATTTTTGGATCACAATTTCCTTTACGCCGGATTGCGTATTCCTATATCTGGTTTCTAGTATTCTTTTCCTGCCCATATCATGTTCCAATTATTCTGCATCCCCTCTTTTGTTTCCAATGTTCGCATGTTCGGAAAATTGCTCGTTTCTGCAACGTCCCCTTTGACCAGCGTTAGACATTTATGTACTCTTTACTGGGCATTTGTCTATGTTGCATACATCTCACATCATATAACGGTGTTTCGTAGCCTGAAGTGCTTGTGTAATGTCGTTAGGAATTGCTTTATTGGGCTACCACATCATGTTTTTGTTGGAAACCTCATCTTTTTTCTAGTATCATCCGTTCGGTTTCAACATTTCTGCATTTTGTTACCTCTGAAGGATCATGCTGTCGAGACATGCGGGAATAATTGGTTGCATTGGTAATAAGAGAGACTTCAACCTGTAGAATAACTCTATGGAAGCAAAAGTATTTCAAGTTAGATAGAGAAGCGAAAATGGGGAAGCTTTCTTTCAGCCGACACTCGGGCAGAGTAGATCGAGAACTGATGTTGAATGTGGATTTAAATGTGTATCAAAATACGGTTGAAGTGAATTTCTTAAAATGTTCAATTTTGAATTGTAAAGAAAATAGTGATCGGCTTTTTATTAAATATTTTTCTCTGCGCAAAATCTCGACTGTATTTTTTAGTCAAAAAGTTTGTACTGAAGAAAAATCGTAGTGATTAATCTGAAAGCCTCAAAATCTTCAGACTATTTATAAATACACAACAAATTACTCACTTTTCTAAAAGCTACCTTACGCAAGATAAATAAATTTCCTAATACTTTTTAGAGCAAAATCGCAAGTAATCAACGCTTGCAAGTCAATAAATCTTCATCAGGCATAAATCCAATCAATTTGCTGTCATAAACTATAAATAACTACTGCCGACCCAGCACTTGATAAGTTTACAAAAATAAAAAAAATATAATCGCATAATCTTAAGCGCAGTACGAGTACTCACCCCTTTTGCCCGCATGGAAGCTATCAAATGGCGAGATGCGTTCAATTTGCGCCACCAACTTGGAACGCGGCAAAATTAATCGATCAGAGTTGATGTGTTCGACGGCCTGACGAAACGCCAGCTCCTGTGTATCGTCGGTCGGGTGAAATAGGCCACCTGAGGGGTGAAAACAATAACAAGATATGAAAATATAAAAGTAATAAAAACGATTAACGAGATAAAAGCGTAGTGTATAATGGCCAATGACTCGTTATGTGAAGAAGAAAGAAGCGTAATTGTGTAAATACGAGGAATAAGAAAACGAGCAAAGAAAATTGTCAGAAATGAAAGGTAAACAAAAGCGCCTTAATGTGCATTTTTAATTTCCTTTAATTAAGTGAATTCGGCAAAGGAAGGAAAAACGTAATTTCCACAACTACTCACACACACACACACACAGAAACACAGCACAGACTCACTCAACGTCTTGCGTATACACAAACCCGTTAAAGTATGCGTACGCTTAGGCTCCACATACAGACACAAACACATGCAAAAATTGAAGTAATAAATTTAATGCAATCAAAAAATCAATAAATAAATGTTGAAGTATAATAAAGAAAGAGAGTAGATTTCATTCAACTTGGCGTTGGCTGCTGATAAGCCAACTTGGCATTGTAACTGTGTATTTTTAGTTATTCTCATTACCAATTTTGATGACATCGGGCAGCGCTAGCGTGTATTGCAGCTGCAGGCTGAACACGATGAGGCAGATACTCAAACGCAGGTAGTGCCAGGACCAGTAGGATGAAGACACCAACAATTGCATCTTGCTGCTGGAGCAGGCACTTTACACTTAACTACACCACACGGAGTTAAAATAAACTCGAAATTTATTTCGTTTCCTTTTGGAAGTTTATTTTAAACTTAATTATTCGCTTTTTTGTTTACACTTGTTTTGTTTCTACACTCCTTTGCTTCTTACACTTTTCTTTACTCACTTACACACACGCGTACGCGCGTTTCACATGCGCTTGTGCATATCTTCAGCTCGTAAGTTGCTCGACAGTTGGAATTCTACTGAACACATTTTGACGCTTGGAAAAGCGTCTAACGCGCGCTGACAGGATGCTGTGTATTGGTGAATGTTGAATTCCCTTCTTTATCATCATCTCCTCTGTTTTTGTCTGATTCCCATTGACAATTATGGCAGCTGCGCAGTGGATGCTGTACATAAAATGGTACAGAACTAAGCTTATACAGTGTGGTAGCTGATGTTTTCAAAGCTCTCGGAGACTTCATGTAAAAAGCTCAATTTGTAAAATGGTAGGGGAAATCCTAAAAAGCTTTATTAATGTGGCTATTCTTCGAGCTTTTTGGTGCTTTAAGGATTAATAAGTTTCACAGTGCTGTGCTGACAAGTGTTATACGATTAAGTTCCACAAATCCGTACAAATTCAACAAATTATTATACTCACTGTTGTCAGAAGAGTTGAGCAGTGCAAACAGGGCTATGAGGAGGAGCTTTCACTATTTCCAAAATGACTGTAACGAGCTTGACCTTAAATAATATTTATTTTCTTACTTACCGAATTTTCATAAAAGACAAGGTTTCAATATTTTGAGTCTTCTTGTGTTAAATTATTTTTATTAAAATAATTTTTTTCTTATTAACGGGGAATTTCAAGCTCGTTCAGTATGTTTCCGATATGAAATAAAAGTTCTTTATAAAAATCCAAGCGCCAACAATATTTATAAAATTTGGTAACGAGTCAAGCATGAATTCAAACGGTTGATTAGGCCAATTAATAATATAATTCGTACGACAAAGAATGCAGAATTCAAAATGAATATATTTCAGAGATCCGTGAGTGACATTTATTTTACTTTCCAAGTTTGCTCGTTTAAAACGGATCATAGTGAGAGGAACTTTTGTACTAGAAATGTGCTTGAGGTCCCAGAGATAGTCCAAGCTTTATCGATGAAATCAGAGTAGACTTAGAAATAGTTTTAAATAATTTAAACGATATCTAAAAGTCAAATGGATTTACGGAGCTTTCACCTTCTAGAATTATCATCATACGTTGGCGTCGATTTTCAGTAAGGAAGTCGTGGCCATTGTATCTCTTATGCTCTGCAAACGTTGACCTTCTTGTTTGTTTGCGAGAAGCCCTAAAGAAGTCTTTTCGGGCTACTAGCAGCCCCAACACCATGTTGTGAGGTTAAGAGGTACATTTTATTTCGAACTATTTTGTATTTTATTGAAAAAAAAGAAGAAATTGGTAAACAATTTAGTTGACGCTCCAAAGTCGAGAAAAGAACCCGGCATGACATGTCAATGTCGTTAAAAAGTCTCTACACGTTCTACTCGTAAAAGTTTACTAGAAGTAAAGTCCTTTACTTTATACCAGTAATGAGTCAAAAAGTTGAGATAAGATCATTCACCATGTACCTAGCAAAGAACGACGATATCCAATTAATAAGAGAACAAAAGAGTATTGACATCTGTAATTTCCATGTCTTCAAAAACTTCTTAGACGTCTGAGGACATATATCAGGCATCATATCCTTTAATCCACTAATGTTGACTAGAAGTGCAGAAAATGAAATACAAATAACTCAGGTATTCTGAAATAACAAAAAAAAAACTTTTTTACTGTAGACTTCCGCGAATCGCCCCTGTGAGGCACTTCTTCTATCTTCGCTCGAGAGGTGTTCATTTACAATCAAAGTTAGAGTTCGAATTCGAAAATGTTTACTCTACCTTCCTACTATCGGAAAAATTATTAGTAGGATGGTCGAGCCAAATTTGAACTCTTGCTTAAAGTAGGTACTATTCCTTAAGAAGCTTATAGTTTCAGAAAAAATGTAACCTTCTAAGAAATGCAATTACATCCCTTTAGTTCATGGTAATGTTTGTCTAAATACTTCCAAAGAAATTGTAATTATGTATGTAGTATTAAAATCAAGCTTAAGGTTTCGAGTCAGCTGAACAAACTTTAAGTAAATGTAAAGTTTCTGCGCTCTTATGTACTTACATACACGTATGTAAGTACGTGCTTAAATATTTGAGCGAAGTAAACAGCTCATCCAAACCGCAACTGGCAGCCGGAACGACCCGAAAACCGACAGGAAAACCACAAAAACTACAAAGGAGAAAATGTGGTCCACTAGTGTTTAAATCGTTTATAAACATACATACTTGTATACTAACTTACAAAAATATATGCAATCTTATTTATATTTGCTCGCTCGAGGCATGTGTATGTTTTGTAGGATTGTATGTATGATTGTTTGCGTATGTGACATTGAGAGTCAGTGAAAGTAATGTGGTGAAATGAAAGGATGCAGTGGATATGAGCAAATAAACCCATTGACCAAAATATAACTAAAATTAAATAAAATAAAATAAATTAAATTAAAAATAAAAAAAAACAATATATAATAAAATACATATATAAAAATAAAATAAAATAAAATAAAATAAAATAAAATAAAATAAAATAAAATAAAATAAAATAAAATAAAATCAATTAAAATAAAAGTTAAAATAAAAAAAATAAAACAAACTAAAAGAGTATGAAATAAAATAATATAAATTTATTGCATAGCTAAAAGTTAATATTTTGCCATTTTTGTATATTTTTCTTTCTTTGCTGATTCCTCTAAACATTTTCTGAAAGTATTTAAGAGTACGTATGATGATGTACGCCAAAGGCATTTTATTGTATGTACTTGTATTATTGCTAAGTTCGTATGTCTCTCGCAGACGGATGTTGTGTTGTTGACTGCATTTCGATGAGGTAAGGTTGTGATGGGGATTGTGGGTATAACATTGAACCATAGCTCATTAATTTCAACAAATATAAATACAAACACATGTATGGTGATGATAAAGACGATACTAAACGTTCGCCATTGGCAAATATTATGACTTCACACGTACATACGTACGTATGCATACTCGTACATATGGTATATTTTTTATAAGTAAACAGAAAAGAAAATTGTTTGTTTTGTAAAATGTATTAAAATATTTGTAAGCAACTTTTTAGATAAAAGTTTGATTTAACAAGCTTTTCTTAACATATCTTTCTTTACTAAAACTAATGAAAGTCTGTCATAAGAGTGTGAGTTTCCGAAAAGTAGATTGCCGGTTTCTATTCTTTCAGGTAAAAGATTAAGGAGTGTCTTCAATAGTGTGAAGTGAAGCACAATCTTCAGCGAGACTTGGAATTTTTTTTCCCCCTTACTTATTATCATGCCAGCCCAGCAAAAGCTAGATTTAATTATTGTTTATTTGTGGGGTAAAGGTAAGGTTTTTTAGTTCCAAAAGCTCAAAAATTTCTTTGACCGCGGGCTTATCGTCAAAACTGAGCTTTTATGACATACTTTTTTTTAGTTAAGTGCGTCTGAGCAAGATCCTGGTTGGCCCTGTTGCTCTAAAAGTAAACAAAGCTTGGAGTATTTCATTTTATTGTATTTTAAATATCTAGTTTGTAAATATTCGAAGCCAAACAGCCGCTTTGAAAAAATTAAAGTGGCTCTGACTATTTATTTGCACATTTCCATAAAAATACCTTCCTTTTAGAAAGAAATAACGCCTCAGCGGCAATTATGGCACCACCACTTCATTCGTCGTTGGTGTTACCCTCTTTGCTTTCATACGAGTAATTATAAATATCCGCATCATAAGAAGAGGAGTTTTACTTTCATCACCCAAGGCTAGGACTCCCTTTTTCAATTTTCACGTTCCATCCAAGCCAACGATTTCTTAAGGCGCAACAGTGTGATGAGTGTGAGTAAAACTCGCGAAGATGGCGCCAGAAAATATGCTACGAATTATTGGCACCTGTGCACAAATATTTGCAATTGTCTTAGCTGCCAAGCGACCGGTCGTGCGCTCAACAGTCACATTGCATTGACGAGACTGCTGCTTTGTGACGCCATTTCCATATACATATATATATATATATATATATATATGCCGAGGACAGCAGCTAATGTAAATTCAACATTACAGACAAAGAATTCGACGAGTCAACAACGGGGTGGCATCGCAATAAAAAAATGCCTACGAATGCCAAAGGAAAGTGGACGGGCGCAATAAGCGCTTTAAGCATTCTTATGTGGTTGGCAAAGTCTTCAACAGCGTATATGCATGAAACCGAAAGGAATTGATATGAAAGTAAAGGCAAAAAAAAAAAAAGAAAAAGTCTTGTACAATCAACCACAACGCACTTACTTTGTATATATGTATATATATGTATATATTTAAAGTAACATCAAGATCACAACCGACTTGTTGACCAAATGGCATTGAGTATATCACAATAGCAACAACAGTAGAAGCAACTACTAGAATGGTGGTACGTAAAAATTACTTACAGCAGCAATAAATGCTTGCAATTTTTTATTCTCATTTCAGCCACCACCACCACCCTTCTTACGGTGTCTCACAAACACATATAAATGCGCCTGCAGGATACAATAACCGCCGTAATAATATAAACATCATCACAACAAGGTTAAATTAGGTCACCGACAACAGCAAAGTCGTAACTACTCGAAATAGCCGAGAAAGCCCAGAGACGCGCTATCACTTTTAATGTTGATTTTAAAGTGTTTATCCAGTGAAGACAGAATAAATCTTTCATCTTTTATTTTTTACGTTCTTATGTATGTTTATCAGTGTGTGCAAGTACTAACAAGTAAATTAAGCAAAACTATGCTCGATTGATGCGCTGAGTTGGGCAAAAAGTGAGGAGCGTATAATTGGCAGTGAGCGAGCAAAGAAGGACTCTGGGCGGTAATTAAAAAGAAATGCAGGTGCTTAACAAACTTTGAGTGCTGTTAAAATTAATAAACACGTAAAATAAATTTTTTAATGTTTTCTATGCATTATAAATGCTCTCCTCGGTTCTCACACACTTCGTGGGTCCTCCCGAATGTCTTCTGCAATTTAAAAAATGACAATTTGTACCATCTAAAAGTCTTGGCAGTAGCGTTAATGCTGCCGGAAATATGTATGTCGCTTTATAAACTTTTATATCTTC